GGAGAAGGGGAAGGATGGCGGCGATGGCAGTTGCAGATCTGCAGGGAAAGAAAAAAAAGAAAAAGAGAGAGAGAGAGATTGAGAACGAGAGTGAGAGAGAAGAGAGAGAGAGAGGGAGATATATACAAGAGTGAGAAATAAAATTATATCACGTTAAAAACCTAAAACATGGACACTTTAGTCTTATCATGTCTGGTGAGGGGGGTCTCACTAATTCAGATTGAGATTTGGGTTTTGGAAAAAGTCTTTAAAGTCAATTGGGTTTATATCAAAATATTTTTTAAATGAGGGGGGTATTGCATATTTCCCATTATTTATTACTAATAGATTTTGGACTAGCGATTTATTGGTTTTCAAATTCCCAATTATCATGAAATTAATTGATTGTATTAGTAGCTTTGGCCAATGTTAATATTCCATCTTTTCACTAATGACATTAAATTGGGATAGCAATCGGAATAAGATTCGATGAGTAAGCAATTAGCCAGGAATATAAAAGCAGCGGCTGTTTTCCGCGTCACGCTTTTAGGATGTGGATTGGATTCTCTCGAGTAATAATTGACAGGAATTTTCTCCAATAAATAATTAATAAATATAATAATAATAATTGAGAATAATTTAGACACCTTTAATACAAAATAAATAAATAATAATAATAAAAATAAATTGGACCATATTTAAACATGCTTAATTAGCACTCCTACACTCGCGGCATCATTTGACCGGAGTGCGAACCTCCTTGTCAACTATTTTAGCTCGATTATATATGTACTAAATTAATTTTCTGAGGGTGCTATTAATCTAGTGAAATAATAATATTTAATTGTGGGATCGGACTTCTGTAGCGAATTTCAGTAAATACGAAATTTGTCAACCGAACGTCTTATTAGCTTCTAATAGTAGTAATCGAACGAGACTTTTAATTATTTCGAGTTCCCATGTCAAACCATGTTATTAATAATACTCACCACACCAATATGTTATTTTGATTATTAATTGAACAAATGAAATACTAAATATGATTCATAATGTTACCAAAAGCTTTTCTTAATTTATTATAATTGAGTATATATATATATATATATATATATATATATATATATATATATATATATATATATATATATATATATATATATATATATATATATATATATATATATATATATATATATATATATATATATATATATATATATATATATATATATATATATAGTCCTCCCATGTAAGCAGAATATACTCTCTCTCTCTCTCTCTCTCTCTCTCTCTCTCTCTCTCTCTCTTTCTTTCTTTTTTTTTTAATTATTATTATTAATATTATTTATTATGAAATGCAAAAGCAGAACTTTTCTCCTGTGTTGGTGTAGTAACAAAAAGTTGTCTTAAATTGGGATTTGGCTTCCTTAATTTAGTTCAATTGGCCGAGGGTGACTAACCATAGCTATCACATTGCTTTTTGACTTGATGCATAATTAAACTGCATGAAATTGGAACAAAATTCCGATTTTCGGAACAAGTTTTTTCTTACCAATTTCCGAAATTCTTATTTACGATTTTTCCAATTTTATTTGGCATTGAATTGGAATTATTTTTACACTACGACCGAAAAGATTAATTTTTTTCGTTTCCTAAAATGCTAATTTCGATCTCATCCGTTCGATTTACATCCTTTAGCATGCCGTAAGTATTCTCAAAAAAATGCTGCGCGCACACCTGGCGCAGTATCGGCCGTTGGATCACACACACACACATGCATGCATGCATGCGTGTCATCCAGCAATGGCATGCTGCATGGAGTACTACTAGACCAAGGGAATCATATATGCATGCATTATTCTTGCTTTTTTTAATTGATTGCATGTAAAAAAAGATGCCTGAATGGACTTCAAACATTTTATTAAGGTTCTGTTCGAGACGAAAAAGCCGGCATAATAGAGAACACGAAACACGCCTACCCGCGAACCAGAGCCTTCGAATTATTGCAAGAAAACAACAAGATGAAACGAATTTCTCCATTGATGTGCATTTTCAAGAATCAATATATATTCCCCCTTTTCAACAATTTTTTTTAATATATATTTTATCTCCGACGATCAATCAACCTTCACCACGTTACATATAATAATAACCGGAATCCACATCAGCATCGGCCCCGCCAGCTCATCACTCGTCGATCGGTCGATCATCTCTTCACAAATAACAGCCTTCCCCTCATAATGCCTACTACATAAAACCCTGAAAATGGGCACCGAATACAGAATAGTACAGAATACTCTTTTTACAACAATAATGCATAAAGAATCATGCATAAAGGCACCATTATTGACTTGCATTTTCTTCAAATTTAATTAAATTATTAAACAATTTTCATGCATGTTTTAGTTTCCTCATGCAAAAGAACACAAATATCTTTAGTATATTAGTTACTACTATATATATAACCCCATATAACACCCAATTCTCCAATTCACCAATTACTTTCAAACACACACATATTTCGAGAAAATCAAATACTCGATCGATTAGACGGAAAAAAAAAGAAAAAAGAATCATGAGCAGAATGGAAGGAGGAGACTGGATGTGCAATGCATGCCAGCACATCAACTTCAAGAAACGGGATTCTTGCCAGCGTTGCGGCTGCCCCAAGTTCGCTACTTCAGCCCAAATATCGTCGTATTCGATGCAGAAGATCAGTACAGATCAACAAACGTTGGCCGGAGATTGGTACTGTGGCGCCATGAACTGCAGGACCCACAATTACGCGAGCAGAGGTGCGTGCTATAGGTGCGGTGCTTCAAAGGACTATTGCGGTTATGGGGCCGAAGTTATTGCGTCGGCCGGTTATGCGTATGATGCCATTCCCGGTTGGAAAACCGGTGACTGGATTTGCTCAAGGTATATATTTATTTTTATGATTAATTAGTTTTACGAACGAAACGAATATTAATTAAATTATAGATTTGCTTCTGTTAGATATTTATTTATTTGGTTACATGGTGCAGATTAGGATGCAGCACGCACAATTACGCTTGCAGGATCGAATGCTACAAATGCAGGATGCCTAGAGATTGTGGTACGTTATACGACTTCTATATATATATAACTAACGACTCGATTTTTTTTTTTCTTTTTTTTTGTTATTTATAGTGTTTTACTCTTATTATAGGAGGACAAATGTGAGAAGATTGGAATGAGGAGAGCAGCTTTTTTGCAAGTTTAATTTTATTTTTCGAGAGCTTCTTTTTATCGTACTTCTTCGATCTGGTGTTGTTTCGGTGATTTCTCTGTAAACTTGCATTGTTTGATGCAAAATTAAAAAAAAAAATGTACTTGCATCATGAGTGAAGCTAATGAAATCTCAATCTTCGTTTGTGTGCAAACTTACATTACATTAGATTGTTACGGCTTACGCATAATATACAACATTCGATTCGAAGAAAAATACGACGATATTGCCAGATAAATGAACTAATATAAATCTTCACTAAGTAACAAAGATGCCAAACGATGAGATTCGAAAAAGGAATGAATCTCCACGAGTTTTCCGTCGAGAGAAAGCTGCCCATTCGACGGACTGATTCCTTTAGGAAAAAGCTAGCATATATAAAAACCGGATTGAATTTGAAATGAGATTTGTCATGAATAATTAGAGTAGATATACAGAACCAGATGCATATGCATATGCAGATGCTCCCCCTTTATGAACATATACTTAATATACAAGAATAGTCAATTTTTTCCAATATATCTATATTGAAGGCATTTATTCAAAAAAGAAAAAAAGTAAATTTTGGTTAAGTGTTGTTTAATCTCTTGATGTGATCTAGGGTTTAAAAGTGCAATTAATCATTTACTAATTGTAATTAGGGTTGTAAAGTAATTCGGTCTAGACGAAATAGGGTGGGATTATTGATTTGGGTGGGAAGTTTCATTCACAATGGGAAGCAGTAGTGTACTACTTCGCTCTTCCCCATTATTCTTCCCTCGTTTTTCTTCGACCGCAATTAGAAGGCTGAATTCTTCGTTTTGCCCTCCTCAATCCGTCATACCGGCTTCCGATCAAATTCGCGGCGGCGGCGGCGATTTCTCATGGGACGACGTCGTTCGGTTATCCCAAACGCGGCAGCACGATGACTCCTCTGACCTCCGTGGCTTCTTCGAGAAAGTGACGCTCTGCAATCGCAATTCCGTACGTAATCGCGAAACCGCCTCTTTCGATTCACACACACACACACACACACACACACACACACACATCGTCTTATTACTGGTTGAATTTTGTCGTTTCTGGGGATACGTTTCAGGAGAAGCAGTGCGAGTTTATCCCTTTCGTAATTGACGAACACATCGTTGGCTATGTTCACAACGGGTAAATAATGATTTTGACTTGTTAATTATGATTTTTAGATTGCTTGCTTCAGTTAATCTTTTGTGCTTTCCTTCTGATTTTACTTTCCAAATCACAATTCCAAGCTCCGAAATTTCCTTAAAGTTACAATTTGCTATCAGTTTCTTCCTTGTTTATACAAAGGATATAGTTTCAAGTATTTGTTAGTTCGATTAGTATACCAGGCAGCAAGCTACAGGTTCAGTTTCATATATTTTCTCAGTTCACATGGTTTCTAAGAAAAGAATATGTTTATCTAATGCCATAAGCAGATTTGCTCATCATTTGAGGAGATATAAAGATGTATTCGCATTCCCCGAGGACCCTTCCTATGGCGGCAATTTTGGATGCCATGTGGCGTTACACCCGCTGCTGAGTGCACCAGAGGACAGGACAGAAGCTGTTGGACATGTAGTCAAGTGCTTGGGTGAAGATGTTATTCCTGGAATTCGAAATGAGGTACTTGTGATCGACCGGCAGCTATTTAACAGTATACTTACAAATGTCGTAAGAAATTGCGTTGGATACGTGTCTATGGATTTGGTGAACATTTATATATTTATTAATTTGTGCTACAATTTACGGCTGTTGTACTATTTACAGCTCTATCCTGTTACATCTTCTTTTGGGGAACCGGAATTTTTCTCACTGGAACGTGCTGCGGCACCATACTTTGGAATAAAGGTGATATAGCAGCTGCAGTAAATTAAATTATATGTTACTTTACTCTTTCTTTTTTTCTTGGGTGTGCCTTGAGTACACTTAGCTGATAACAGTTTGTTCGATTCTGATATGCAAAGCAATGTTTCTTGAGAAGGGGACAAATAGATTCGCAAAAAATAAAGATTTAATATTATATTTTTTAAGTACTGGGATTGCCGCAGTTATTATTAACGAGGAAAAAACATTTCTTGCACACAGTTTAGGTAATTCTTAGACGAGGTAGCTCATAAAATGCTTTATGTGCAGAATGGTTGAAAAGTTCCCTCTATATCTTGATGGCTTACTTGCATAGTTGTCTCTTTTGTTTGTGAATCTGGGCGATCGACTATTTTTTTGAAGCATGATCACAACCCTCTTGCTATATTGGGAACCCGTACCAATTTTTTTTTATTTTTTATTTTTTTGTTTTTATTTGAGTTATTTTTTTAAATGAAGTCAACAAATTGTAGGATCTTCGTGTGGGTCTTTACCAGGTATATGAATATTTCATGGACTGGGATTGTATTTCGAACAATATGGAGCCAATGTTGGCGTTTGTCGTTATGCTTACACTGAAAACACTGTGTCTTGATTACTGTAAGTAGTATCAACGAACATTTAAATTAACTGTTTCTTTAAATGATATATATACTCATGCTAGGCTTACGGGGTTCATATGGTTGGCTATGTTGAAAGAGAGAACCAGAAATATCTATGGGTAGGAAAGAGAAGCAAACTAAAACCCACATATCCTGGGAAACTCGATCATCTAGTTGCTGGAGGGCTGGTACTTCATCATTCTCTGTCACGTTTGGAAGTTCGGTTTTTGTGCTCTTTAGGTTCTGTAATTACAAACCTTTGGCTACTAAGAATAAATGTTCATTTTCTAAATACCTTTCGAATATTCATTTTGCTGATTAAATACAGCTTCTTTTTCGTAAAAATAAAAAAATACTTGTATCTGTACGAGGACAGCCTCATGGAATATCCTGTGGGGAGAATCTTGTGAAGGAATGTAAAGAAGAAGCTGGAATACCAAGATCACTTTCCAGCAAGTACGTTCTTCAATTTACTTTCTACACTATCCAAATATATATAGAATTTATGCATCTTATTTTATTTATTAATTTTTTGTTTTGAACTCAAGAGCCACAGCAGTTGGAGCTGTATCTTACATGGACATCAACGGCTATAGACTGAAGAGAGATGTTCTTTTCTGTTACGATCTAAACCTTCCGGAAGACTTTGTTCCTGCTAACGAGGGTAGGGTAATAAGTGTGTTAAAACTTTCCGCTCGAAAAATATTAAAATACAGCTTCTCTCACAACGTTTATTCTCCTTAACAATATGTCAGATGGAGAAGTGGAGAGCTTTAAACTACTCCCTGTTACACAAGTTGCAAATATCATAAGAAACACAAGTTTTTTCAAAGAAAATTGCAATCTCGTCATCATCGATTTTCTGTTTCGTCATGGGTATAATTTTTATTTATTTTTGTTCAATGCCTCTGAATTTTTATTTAGTATTGCAATTTTTTTCTGAATGAATTAGCTCTGCAGATATATTAAGCCTGAAAGCTTAGGATATCTGAAGCTGCTGCAGAGTCTGAGGAGTGGAGATTGCACCTAAAGGTTACTTCATTCATTTGCTTGTCTTAATAAATATACATGTCTACCAGTTTGATCAAATCAATTTAAACAAATGTGATTAATTATTAATATATACTTGGTAAATGTTTTTTCAATACAAATGTAGGGAAACCCACCCTTTGAAACATATATTTGAAAACACGTATGTATATTTAGATTTGATCCGATATTGCTCGTTGAACTTTGGTCTTGAATACCAAAATGTACAGCTTTTCCATTGTGAAATAGAGAAAGCAGCTGGTCGAGTGGGTAACAAACGACCCGAAACTCGAGCCCACTATGCAATGCCAGGCCGGTCCGTACACCTTGTCAAATTCCTGTTAACAAAATTACAGATACACATTTAAACACGGTTCCAAACATTTCCTTCATAACTAGTGACCGATTTTTTTTTTTCCGTCTTTTCGTCGCTAAATAGAAGCTCCTTGTTGCAGTTTGGATTAGAAGAAGAATATTAAGTTCGGTTTTGTATAATAATTTCCTGAGATGGAGACCAGTAGCACATGATTTGGGAATAATAGTTCACTATTAGCACATGATTTGGGAAGAATAATTCACTATTATTGATCTAAGTAATACTTAAACATGAGCTGTATGGTATCTAGGTGTTGATGTATAACTAGTGGTCCTTGTTGATTTTAATTTTTTATAAACGAATCCGTAACCACGTATGTGCACTACTATTTTATGCTCGTACTATACGAGATGTGTAAATCTTACTGGGTAAATCATGTGGGACGAGTTTGACTTCTAAATGACTGAAAAGAAGGATTGAACTCGGGTTGTAAACACCCACTCTCCTTACTCCATTAACTAGGCCATTTTACGGGGCAAAAGAAAAAAGAAAAAAATCGGACGACCTAGGGACAACTGGCTAGATGATTCGAACTTGGGTCAATTGACACAAATTCACTTGTTCCAACCGCTAGGCCATTCCTTACGGACAAGCTTAACAATATAATTGAGGCAAAATATAATATATTGACAATCAAACGAGGCCTGATTGAACTAGTACTATCAACAACAAAATCATTTGGATCTGCTTGCCGGGGCTACGTGCATCCAATCCGTAAAATGTACATGTGCAAATCGATACGTGAACATGCAATTGATTTGAATAACTAGTGCTAGAGGAAAATTGATTACATATGGTAATTAGTAATTACAAAAAACTATAATAAGAAATTAAGAACCGATGGATAAATTATTTTACTTTGTTCACTTGCATGTATATATTAATTGAACTACACATATGCAATATATGAGTTTGAAGAGATAAAATGTTTATGTTTTGATGATGTTTACCTTCTTGATGTTGTAGGCCATGTGTTTGGAGCTAAACTTGTCTAAGCCATCGTATGTAGCTCTGGCGCACCGGAAGGCGTGCACCTGCATGTACCCCGCCATGTCACTCACTAAAACCTTCACTTGCAGAAACGCAGCCACCGATCCCACATTCGCAGCTTCCGCCCCCGTTACTGATCTCCTCCCCACCACCGCCGCCGTCGACACCGATTTTCTTCGTTCAGCCACCACTTCTCCTCCGCTCTCAGCCACCGCAGCCAATTTCTCATTATTATTATTACTATCGCTTCTCGTTTCTCTGTAAGTTTTCGACCTAATTAGCGATCCCCACCCCTTCGATACCACATTTTTGGTGGCGGATGCTGGCGGTGGAACGCCGCCACCGCCGACTATGTTGTAGACGTAGACGCCTTCTCTCTTTGGTTTGCTCCCTCTGTCGCTTGCCATATTAATTGGTTGGTGGTGGTGTTGGCTTCTGATTTTGGTACATATATATATATAATGGTATTGAAACTATATCATTGAAATTTAAATATTTAATCAATTTATTTATGGAGGAAAAACAACCACCCGACCAGATAATTTGTTAATTATAATTGGTGAGTTACGTAAACTATCCTTAAAGTTTGTCCTAATTACAAAAATACCCAATAAAGCTTGTCAATTGCAATTTCTAGTTTCCAAATCCCATTTTGTAATGGGTTGTGATCCCTAAACAAGATTAGAACTTAATTAAGAGGTTATTATGTTCCTCAGAAAAGCAAAAAATAATGTATTATTGAATCAAAAAAAAATAATAATAATAATAATGAAGACAGCATGAGATTAAAAAGGTAAGCAAAGCATGTGGGATTGATTACCTGTAACCACTGGATTATTGAAAATGAATTAATTATCTGTGAAAGAGATATTAGAAATTGACGTCTAATTTTGTATTTTCTTACAACCATTTGGCTACACAAGTAACTACACAATCATGATCGTAGGTCTTTTAATTAAGGGCATGTTTGTGTTTGTCCCAAATGGGTTTGTTCCTAGACAACCACCACAATATGGCCCCCCTTTTTTAAGCTCCGAGCCCACTTAATTAAGATTAATTTCTTATTTACATGCAGTGTCGGAGTCAGCATGGAGCTATGGGAGCTAGAACCCCAAACATTTCTCAAATTCCGATTTTGTAGATCACCGGGTAAAGTACACCAAGTGATCTTGCATCATTGATCAACACATAATAACAACAAAACCGTGTGTATGTGCTTTTAGTGGATGGTCATTTTGTATAAATAGGTGGTGCAAAAGTATCCGGTGTTATTCAGCAGATGTAATATCTCATAGACCTCAAATCCCTAGTATTTTATATAGAAAAAAATTGTGTATAATAATACCCGCCCCTAAAATTCTTTTAATATATTCTGCATCGAACTTAAAATCCCGACTCCGCAGATGTTTATGTTAATGGTTGTTAATTATTTCAACATTATTGATTTGGAATATTGTGATAGGGGGCCATCGAAAGATTTGTAGTGAGATTTTGATAAAAACAAGATTTCCATTGAATAGAGGGCCATAATTTTGGATCCACATTCCAAATTTCCATACACTTTTTGGCGTTTGCAATTATTAATTTCAATTTACGCTGTATAATCTAGATTAGCTCTATTCAGGCCGGTCTTAGGTAAAAACCGGCCTCGTAATTTTTTTTTCTTTTTATAATCTCAAAATTATTTATTTTTTCTGGTTTATTTATTATTTATTATTATTATTATTATTATTATTATTATTATTATTATTATTATTATTATTATTATTATTATTATTATTATTATTATTATTATTATTATTATTATTATTATTATTATTATTATTATTATTATATACAACTTAAAATTAGAGGCCCTATTGGGCTCTTCACAAACAGTATATGGACCCGGTCTCGGATGCCCATATCCGTAATTTGGAGCCCATTAAGGACAATAACCTAGGCCCGTTTTAAGTTAAAAACAGTTTCGGGCCAGGCCTTAGTCCGACGAAAGTAACAATATTTATCTGATAAAAAGAAAAAAAAAAAACTAATAATATTTAATACGTTAATGGGGTTTTTTGCAAGTAAATGCCTACCTCACATTATGATATACAATTCAGTCCCCTGGCACATACATATTGTATTGCACTCCTCCCTTTTAACTTTCACTTTCTCTCAACTCCTTACCTGCCTAAATTGATCAATTTGACCTATTGATTTTGTATTTATTTTTCATCTATAGTTTACTGTACCTAAACTATACCTATAACCAAACACTTCAAATTTCTACTCCAAATGTACTATCCTACTTCACAAACATGTTCGAATGTCTCCAAATTAAAGACGAAAAAAATGGGAAAAATAATTCATGTTCATCTTTGTCCCATGTTCGTCGCCACTGCCTCTCTTCGTTGCTACCAATTATAGCTATGCCCCTCTCCGTTGCTAACTAAACAGGAAAAATGAGTGCATCTGGTGATGATCAACAACTCTATGTTGAAGTGCTAGGAAGCTGTTGCTACAAAGATCAACTCCATATCATTTTAATATAGAATAATGCTACTCTCATGGAGCTTCTTACGGCTGTAGCAAAAAGTGTAGTGCTACAGATCCAAATTCGTTGGTTCTTCACAATATAGTCCCACATGAAAGATTGTACTTGTCGTCGACAACCAACAAACTCGTGTGTACGATAGTGTTGATGCACTTGATAATGAAAATGAACATTGTCGACATTCTTGTGACTCGAAAAGGATGATGCTCATTTGCGTAAAAACGACCCCCACATAATCGGCTACAAAATTTGGGTGATTGTAATTTAAAATTAAACAAAGGGGTATTCCAGACATTGTATGTCATGAGAAAATAAAAATTATAAAATAAATGAAACGAATCAAGTAAATTAATGTATTCCTTTTATTTTAGTCAAACACATAAATTAACCCTTCCATAAAAAAAAACACTCACACACACAAAACACACAGTCACAAATTTCACTCCACACTGTTGTGCCGTAACGCCTCCTACTCATCTTCCTCCATAAAAAACCAACAAAAACCAGAGAAAACAAAATCAAATCCACACACACACACACAGAAACAACGAAACCCTAGATTTCGCCAACAATGGGGAAAGGTGGTGCACTGAGCGAAGGCGTGGTGAAGAAGATCGTCCTCTCGTACACCTACGTATCGACCTGGATCTTCCTCTCGTTCATGGTGATCGTCTACAACAAGTACATCCTGGATCGGAAGATGTACAATTGGCCCTACCCGATCTCCCTAACCATGATCCACATGTCCTTCTGCTCCTCCCTCGCCTACCTCCTCGTCCGCGTTTTCAAGGCCGTCGATCCGGTCACCATGTCTTGGGATCTGTACCTCAAATACGTCGTCCCCATCGGACTTCTCTACGCCCTCTCCCTCTGGCTCTCCAAGTCCGCCTACATCTATCTCTCCGTCTCCTTCATCCAGATGCTCAAGGCGCTGATGCCGGTCGCCGTGTACACTCTCGGCGTCCTCTTCAAAAAGGAGGGTTTCAAATCGGAGACCATGGCGAACATGATCTCCATCTCGATCGGCGTCGGAATCGCCGCCTACGGCGAGGCGAAGTTCGATTCCTGGGGCGTGATTCTCCAATTGGGGGCGGTGGCGTTTGAGGCGACCCGGCTTGTCATGATTCAGATCCTGCTCACATCGAAGGGTATCACATTAAACCCGATTACGTCTCTCTACTACGTTGCGCCTTGTTGTTTGGTCTTCCTGTTTGTGCCTTGGGTTTTCGTGGAGTTCCCGATCCTTAGGGAGAACTCGAGCTTCCGGTTCGATTACGTGATCTTCGGGACGAATTCGATGTGCGCGTTCGCGCTGAACCTTGCCGTGTTCCTACTCGTCGGGAAGACGTCTGCTCTGACGATGAATGTGGCTGGTGTGGTCAAGGATTGGCTGTTGATTGCGTTTTCGTGGTCGGTGATTAAGGATACGGTGACGGCTATCAATTTGTTCGGTTATGCGTTGGCGTTCTTGGGCGTGGCGTATTACAATCACTCGAAGCTGCAGGCGCTCAAGGCGAAGGATTCGCAGAAGAAGGCTCAGATGGCTGATGAGGAAGCTGGGAGGTTGTTGGAGGAGAAGGAAGCTGAGAACAATGGAGTTAGAAAGAACGACGCGCACAATTGATCGATTCTCTTAGGTAATTTAATCCGACGTTTTTTTCTTTTCTTTCCTGCTAGAATGAGGAATTAGGCAGTGGACATGAAATTCGGAAATCGTGTGATTGGTTCTTGAGGACGATCGATGAATTTCTTATATATGCTGTCCCCGCAATATTTTTTTTTACCCCTTGGTTTTTAACTTATTATTTACTTTGTTGTCATCTCGTGCTACTGCGAATTTTGAGGATTGCTCATATTCGCCAGATGGCGGAGAGTGACGTTAGAGCGGAGGATCGTTTTTTATTTTCTATGTCGTTCTGATACATTATCATTAATTTACTACTCTTTTCATTACAATATGGGTTCGTTGCTTATTCTCGCTATTTGATTCGTTGGAGTTTTAGTTGTGTTGTTTGCAACCATCTTGGTGTTTTTAGTTTAATTGGGCATCAAGATCTTTCTTTTATTACTTTTTTGTCGAGAATGCAGCTTGGATTCAGTTACTGCATCATCGTAAGTTAGTATTTGGACGAACTATGTTGAGCATTAGATTTTATGTGCTCGATAATCTAATAAGACGAGCTCGAGACTTTTCGTGTTTCTTTCCAATCCTTTATTCAGGAAAGCGTTGTATGTATGCATTAATCTTTGTCGAAATTCGACTAGTCTGTCATTCATATTACCATCGGAATTAGTCCTAAGAGTTTGAATATCTAGTTTGCTTGTGGCGTGCTATTCCGATTGGTTATCGACAGAAGAAATGAAGTTACGTAAGGCTTCTTTCGTAAGCTAAAACACACACACACACATTCATGTTGTTTTTACTTGGTAATATCTCTCTATATTTGATGATTTGATGCTTAAAGCTTTGATGTTGTGATTGGTGCTGTCTGTATGTACTGTATATTGTTTTACAAGTACACTAGACAATCGATTCTTGAACGAATTTCGGGGGATTCTTTCGACTGTGGAGAGATTCGAGGGTTCGAAACTTAGGAGCTCGTCGTATATTGTAATGGTCAATTATAAGGTTATTTTTTTTTAAATTCTTAGATAAAGTTGTGTAAACAGTTATAAAAATCCTTAAATTAACATTTCAATTCAGTTACATGGAACTTAATACGTATAATTAACCTCATCGAGTTTTGATTATGGATGGAAGCCGGTCGAAACGAGTCGAAATTAATCTTTGACCAAAAAAAAAGAAATTCGATTTTTTTTGGAAGTACGAAATTACTCTAAATTCCAAATATAAAATTTTCAGAGTTTAGCAATCCATCCGGATTTCAAAAATTCTGGAAATTTTCTTAACATTGGTATATAATTTAAGGTATTATACATACACGTTACTTTCTCGAGATTTAAAAATTCTTACGATTTACGAATTACAATGTGTATTTTTTGACAAAACGATTTGCGATTAGATTGACATACTAATAACATATAAAAAGATTAAAATATTCTTCTCATTAATTATGAGTAATAATGACAAAATTTGAGAAAAATGCAATTAGTGCATCATTCTTGAATTTTTTCCTCCAAAATGACAAATATTTTAACATTGGGTGAGTATTAATAATAACAATGATAATAATATATGGAGAATAAGTTTCTCTTAGTTAACACTAGATTACATTACAACATACATAAGCTTGTAACGAAATATTTTTTTATAAAAGCTAAATAAATTAAAGTAATTCATTATATCTAAAATAATAAAGAATTGATTTGCACATTATTAAATGATTTTTAAATGAAGAAAAAAAAAAGAAAAGAAAAAAAGAAACCCTAAAAGAGGGGTAAAAGTGGAAAAGTGTGAAGTTCTCAGCCTAGCGAATTCAACAAACTTCTCCACCTCTCTCCTCAAAGCTATCCCCATTCCTGCGCTGTTACTCTCATTCTTCTCCGAGAAAACTCAATCCCGTATACACAAATCTATACTTATATATATAAATACATATACTAATCCTGTTTTAATCTAAGCATTTCTGTTCGGTACCGCTTGAATCGAATCAGAAAACTCTGCTTCCGTTGAATCGAATTGTTGAAAAAAATGGAAGAAATTACAGCCGGAGTTACCAATATTAGCATCGCCGGCGACGCTCAGAAGAAGAACAGAATTCAGGTCTCCAACACCAAAAAGCCCCTCTTCTTCTACGTCAACCTCGCCAAGGTACTTTCACCTAGGGTTTGACATTTATTTTTCATCATCCCTAACATTTGATGCGCGCGCGTGTGTGTGCGCGTGTGTATTACTGATGAGAAGAATGAATCTGCGTTTTTCGATACTGTTGGATCTGAAACTAAGTTTGATTTTTTTTTTTGCAGAGGTACATGCAGCAGCACAATGAAGTTGAGCTTTCGGCTCTTGGAATGGGTATGTTCTTTGTGCCTCCTTTCGTTGGTTTCAGTTTTATGTATTAATTTAATGTGAAATGTGCAATCTCTAAATTAATCACAAACACGACTCACTCCGAATCACCTGCGATTGACAGATTTACTCACATATTTGCATGCCCTGTGTTTGTTGTATGTTATTGCTCCGTGAAATTCGTATTGATTTTTTGTTCTGCGAGAGTTGTGTAGAGAATTTAGATTTAGTTTTGGAAATATTGCGTTCGTTGACTTCTGTGATTAGGATGGGGAATTTTATTAGTAAATTATTTCACCTGTTTCATGGATCCGAAACCGGATCCAGTTTTCATCATCATATGAACCCAAGCTTGGTTGATATCCAAGCCCCCGGCCTTCTCCCCGACAAACAAAAAGTGTACAAATACCTACAAGCCGTCTACACGTTCAATTACAAATATGTTTGTTAAAAACCCGGACATGCTTCATAATTAGACCAAACAGGATCTTGCCCTAACTTCCTGGTTAAGGTGACCCTATCTGCATATTAATCTTCTTTGTTATACCAATACCTCAGAGGCAAACGCCTGCTTATCGTTCAAAGCCTCGTAATCTTACAAATTTAGTATCGACTATAGAATGGATATATATATATATATATATATATATATATATATATATATATATATATATATATATATATTATTTACATCACTCTAGCATTTTTTACTTTTGAGCGTATCTTTTAATATAAAGGGTACTCTTGATGATAAAGTATCCGTAGGATTTTCACGTGTGTAAAAATCTCAATCTTTTAACACACAGTGTGCAATCCAATTCTCGGTTCACCTTAAAAGCAGAAGACAAGTACTTCTTAAGTGGGTGATAAGTCCATCTTCATTCTAGCCATTTCATCATTGTCCATATATAATTAGAACTTTCTCTCGTTTCATCATCATTGTGTTTGAGTGATAGATAGCACCAATATTTGGACTAGAGTCGAAGCTGCAAATGAAGGGATTTTTGTTACAAATAAAATTCATTGAAGCTTCTTTGGTTTTATTACGATTCATGGGTTGTGTTTTGCTTTCTCTGCAGCTATTTCCACAGTTGTGAGTATCGCTGAAATCCTGAAGAATAATGGATTTGCAGTCGAGAAGAGTAAGGCTCTCTGCTTTCACCCTAGTTTTCTTAATATCATATTGACGTTCCAGATAAAACGATTCGGACGATATTTTACGCATCTTAACAATTATAATTGTCACACTCTGCAGAGATTACGACATCCACTGTCGAAATAAGAGATGAAGCAAGAGGGCGACCCATCTCCAAAGCCAAAGTAAGTTTATTATCTCTAATGATTAATGTATATGCCTACAATGTATTTGTGCTGTCATTATCACATATCTCATTTTACTATTTCGATCTTTTTCTACTGTCCTAACACTTGATGTTTCATAAGTTTGTTCATTCACTCACCAGTATATAAATACGTTCGTATTTTGATAATTAGATTGAGATAGTGCTTGGGAAGACGGAGAAATTCGATGAATTGATGGCAGCTGCTGCAGAGGAGAGAGCTGGAAATGGCGAAGAGCAAAGTTAAAGATGTTTTGTTTTTCATGCTCTCGTATCTTGTTATTTGTTTTTGTTACATTAGAGGATTTTGTGTTGAGGTGCACACAACACATTCTAAGTGATAACTTATAGTTGTAGTCCATGTAGGATTCTGGTTTCAGTTGAGCCTGCCTAGCTGGCTTATGTGAAAATTCTCTACTCTCTTCCAAGACAATCTTTCTTTTATTTCAAATTTGGTTGCATTTCATTTGATGCTGTTTTATGTTACTTTTTTGTTTTCGTTTTTTTTAATTAAAAAAATCGTAAACTTTTTCTGTATCCTCGGAAATCGAACTTTTATTAACATATTTGATCGTGTTAGATAGATTAATAGTGTTGAAGACATGGACCAGGAAAGACTCCCACTTCTCGACCGTGGGCGTTATTACAATGTGCAGTAACTTGTTTTCCGGATTTGGCCGAGTCTATATTTATCGACTGCATCGAAATTCCAAAGCATGGCACCGCGTTGCTGCAGTTGAGATTAATCGCTATATCTGTCGTTGATGTTCCACTTATTTCCTTGTATACTACACTGCTTACTTGAACTCCAGTTTCCTACATCAGAATACAGATTAGTGTATATATATATATACACACACACACACACACAAGTTTTTGTTACCTCCTCTTTGCAGGCATCCCTAACGAAGCAATAATTTTGGTCGATGATTATGGGATTCTTTACGTTGTTGAATTTGAGATTTTCGAATACTACGTTTCGAACATATCCTCTTCCAACCTTATTCAATTCAAATTAAAAAAACATTAAAAAAAATCGAGTTTTAAGTGACTGTAATCACACACACCTGCGCATATGTCGATATACCTGCCATGTTTTGATCCGAGCTCCGTTTGTGGTTCCATTAAAGAATGCATCGGTTACTCGAATGTTCTCCACTTGTACATAGTTTCCTCCTTTCCCTAAGCTTCCAATGCTGTACACCATTTAATTAACTAATTACCAACACTATATTCTTGTGATTTCATTATTGCATCATAAACAACAATCATAAATAATAGTATCAAGAAAACACAAGTAGGAAACTTAAATAGTTAATTAAGTACCTTATACCATGACCCGGTCCACACACAACATTCGCTATTTGAACGTTCGAAATATAATCCCCAATTGAGATACAATCATCGCCTACGTACCACACATTGAAGAAAAGATAAATTTGAAAATGAATAAATAGTAATCAACGCATCATTTAAACTATAAAGTGACAGATAGTACAAGAAACAGGGTGAAATAATCAACTTTTTTTTTTGTAATATAACAAATTAACTTACCACATGCAATTTGAGAATTGGTGATGGTGACAGAGTGAGAAGCTTGAATGTGGATGCCATCAGTGTTGGGGCTATTTCCAGGTGAATTAATCATTAAATTTTCAATCTTGAAATTATTGCAATCCTTCACAAGTATGTGTGTTTGTGCACTATTCATCAACTTCATATTCCTCACACTGCTCTCTTTGCACCACAAAAACTTCAACGCCTGTTTTTTTCGATGATTTACAAACATATGTATATATATATACAATCAGCGGTTGAGCCAGCATAGAGCCAGGGGGCCATTACCTCCCTCCCCCAGAACATTTCTCAAAACTTTATTAATTTATATAAAAATATAAAAATATCATGTATAATAGCATTCTGCCTCTTCGAACTTGAAATTCTGGCTCTGCTAATGTATATATACTTATAGAATTCCAAATAAATTTCAAAATAAATCAATGAAAGACAATAAGTACTACTTACTGTTGGAGCCGTTTTCGTGCATTGTTTCTGCAAACTCGGAAATAAACAAATCATCAGAAAAAAAAAAAAATTAATATATAACAAATAAGAATGTATATGCATGTAATGTGTGTGTGTGTGTATATATATGTATATATATACCAGTTGCGGGTGGTATCTACATGATTGGTCCCACCAGGGCTGGCCGCGGCCATCAAAGACACCGTAGCCGTCGATCTTGAGACCGTCGACATGCTCGAATCCTAGCCATTGACTTGCATCTCTCCCATTCCACACATCAGGTGATTCCGGGGCTATAATTGTCCCTGAAATCTAGTATTATTTATTAAAAAAAAAATCAGCAAATTTGGAATAGGGTTTTAATACCAATTGGAGAAGAATTAAACATTGAAATAAAACAATAAATGGCAATTTAATTTGGCATACCTTGAAATTAATAGTTGGGGAATTGCATGGGCCATAAAAACTGATGGGGTTTACCAAAAATGTGCTCTCTTCTGGAACATATATCTTTGGAAATTCAACTAAGGCATTGCATGCAGCCTCCCATGCTTCTAGAAATGCCTTTAAAAAAATATTTAATTTAAAGTTTATATTTTCATTCTCTCTATATATATATATATATATATATATATATATATATATATATGTTTTCCAAATTACTAAAATAAAATATTTTGTGTTAATTAAATATCCACTTTAGGACATTTCTTTTTCGCATTTGGTCCCACAAACATTAAGTTTCAAGCAGTGGCGAAACCATGATTTTGTTTTCGACAAATACTAATGAAACAATTATATCGAAAAGGGTCGACGATACTACATTCTTGAAAAAAATAACAAATTATATGTAAAATAGTTGACTTTTTGAGAAATAGCAACTAGCGTGATTATATTCTCCCATAGCTCTGTGTTGGCTCCTTCACTGACTCTAAAGACTACTGTTTACCTTTTATAATAATTTAATTTTGTATTTAAAAACTTTAGGAGCAATTTATATTAATTACCCAAAAAGAAATTAAAAAAAAATAGTGGATCATAGATAATTAACAAATTAAATGAAACTTACTTGTGAATCATCTGTTAGGCCATCGCCTGTGGCACCATAATCCATCACATTAAATACATCTTCATCTTCATCTTCAAATCCAATTCCAATTCCAATTCCAATTCCAGAGGAATTTGCGCAAGCAATAACCGAAAAAATCGAGGCTAAAGTGAATAAAATTACTCCGAACCCTGCACCCTGTAAACACATGATTTAAAAAAAATATGCATCATATTATATTATATTTAAACTATTTAATCTGTACAAATTATTAATAATTTGGCAGGAAACTCTCACCATGAAACGAGATTAGTTACAATGAAGTAACTGTATATAATAATCCCAGAGCCTCAGCAAAATTTATATCTATAAAAAAAAAGTTGTATCAAAATTTTTAATAATCACATAACTGAAAGCTAATAAACAGTACCAAACAAAATATTCTATAAATAAAAAATAAAAATTAAAAATTAAATTTGCAGCATCTTAATTACCTGAAAAAACCTTAGGAAGAAGATGAGTTAACAGATGAACAAATTAAACCTCCCATTATTAAAACTATTATATATATACATTTATATATATGTATATATATAATTGATTTATGCAACTGAGTTCATCTTTTGCTGAAAGAAAAAAAAAATTGTATATTTCACTTTGGTTCGCAATCTTATTCTGATAATAATAAATTAAAGATTTCATTTTTCTTCTTCTTTTGAACTTTACGTGTAGATTTTTATTCTTTTCTTGATTGATTTTTAGTCATCTTTTACTTATTTCTCTAGTTATTGCCTTTGATCCGTTGACTTTTTTACATGAATATACTATTACATTTTTGCTAAATTAAAATTCAAAAGAAATGAACAAGAAAATATATATAGGCATATATCAATCACTGCACATTCACTTCACACTTATCGTAACTACGACAAACATTTCGTGTATTATTGCGTTGATTTATATCGAGGATGTACGATAAATTGTACGTTCGTTATTTTATCTACGTATAAACACATAGCACGTGTTCGTATTATAAGCTCTCTTTCAGCTAGGAAAATAGTTAATTAAGCCACAATAGTGAAATAGTTATGTCATTTAGTATTTCATCGGTTAAATAAATTGTCGAATGGAGTACTATATATCCTAAGGTTTCGTTTAATTACCACGATACGATTAGCCATTAATAAAAGATTATAGGTTAATTTATTAGGCCAAAAATCTATAATGTGTTTTTCTTTTATATTTTATGTTTAATTTCCTTTTTTTTTTTAATTTTTTAATTTTTAATAATAAATGTTATGAATAACAAGAATTAATTGCATTAATATTGACTGTTCAAATCCAATAGTAAATTTTACTTTAATGACATTATAAAGACGCAGTCAAAAGGACAAGACAATTAAATAATCAGGCAAAATGCATTTACTACACTTTTCTGTACCAAAATAATATTGCGGGTGTAAAAACGACTTAATTTCACTTTGCACCTTGAAATATAATGTTTGGCACTTTGCACCTTCGAGAAAAATTAATAGTACTTTACACCCTCGAATACACTAAATCATGCATAATTTACTCCTAATGAATTTTTAAGCTAATGAAGATAGTTTAATATTTTTATTGGTATTTTTTATGATACGAAATGTTAAATCAATTTTCTAAAACATAGTTTTTTTTAGTAATTTATAGTGTTTTTTTTTTTTTTCATTTTGTACACTCAAAATTCTTTTGGAGGTAAAAGAAAATTATAATTTAATTTGTTACTTTGCACTCTGAAAATGAAAAAAAAATTAAAAAAAAAGATGAAATTACCCTCATTAAATTTTAAATATTCAATTAAAGGTGTATTGTGAATGATTTACTGTGTTTTGAGAGTGCAAAGTGCTATTAATTTTTTTAGTTGGTACAAAATGCAAATTAGTACATTTCAAGGGTTCAAAGTGAAATTAAGCTGGTAAAAACAAAGAATTTAGATAATGTGCATACCTGTATTATGCAATTGTGTCAAACTTCAATAAATTGGAACAACTTCCTGAAAAAAAAAAAAATTGAATTATCCAACTATAATTGTAAATATCAAAATAATACGCGTAAACTCGAAACCACGTCGTTTTGATTCGTATAATATACTACCGGATCAATATAGTCCATTGTGCTTTTATTGATAACATATTGGACAAATGACAATAACAATATTTCAATAGCCACCACGTTTCAATGTGGAACAAAAACTCACCAAAATTAACGGCAGCGTTTTCTTGCTGTTAATTTGAACCATGGTTTGTTGAGCTATGCCTTCACTTTGAACCATGGTTAATACTCCTTCAGCTCTACTGTTTTCTCCGTTAATGTGCAGCCGTTAAGTTTGCTTCAGAAAATTATGAAAGATTCACAAAGAAGAGAAAGATATATAAATATATGTGAGTGTATATACATATATACAGACTCAAAAGTCAAAACTGCAAAAACTCAACAAAGTGCAAGGAAATTAAGAATGAATTAAGAGTTGTAATGAAACTTACATATATGCTATATATATATATATATATATATATATGTCTGGGTGTTGACCGGAAAAAAGGTGATTGATTATACGGCGAAAAGTTACAACAGAAAAAAATCACGTGTAATATTTATGTGGTGTCTTTTTCCATTTTATAAGCACAAGCAACAAAATTTTAATACTGAATTCTACAGTTGAGGCCTGTCTTAATATTTAGGCTTGTGACACCTATATATACATATATATATATATATATATAAGACAGGTCTCAAGTTTCAAGGTAATTAATTAGTAACTCCAAAAAGAAATGGGGAGAAAATTAAATTAACTATTTCATTATCTTTCTTTACAGCTTCCACTTTTTTTTTTTTCCCCACTACCCAGACAGAAATTTAAACCCCACCCCTTCGCGTACCCGAGTCGCCTCGCCCCGGATTAATGGGGTAATCCCCGCCCGGTTAGCTAATGGGGCGGGTACTGGTTTTGAACATATGCAACCTTACCTGCCCCGTATTCGTCCCATTGTCATCCCTAAGAAAATTAGTGTTTTTGTTCCCTTTTTTAATGGACAAAAAATGCACACACTCGAAGTGACCGAATAAATTCCGCCCTCGTACAATAATTAGTAAATTAATACACCAAGAAAAGGGTTACGAAACCGGGTCAATTTAGTCAAATGACATCGGACTCCCTTGCTGGGTTATTTTTGTTACTAATTGTATATTAAGAGGGCATTTACTTTTCATTTGGTGATGAATTAGTTCCAAAATCTTTTTGGAGCACAAGTTTATATAATATTTTTCTTGACAATATAAATATTCCAATTATTTTATTTTTCCTCTCTTTCTCGAGTTCAATATTTCCTACCACAAAAAATGAAATAAATAAATAAATAGTTTTCTTATCCAAAATGCATGTTGTTGAAACAATAAAATATTCCGACGGGTTATTGACGGACAGCAATAACATTCTCTTGGTTATTTTATCAAACACCTTGTGATCAACTGTGATTCATTCCCTCAAGAAAAAAATGGCACTCTCTCTTCATTTTCCACCTCCCACTGCCACCACCTTCAACACCATTGACAAACCTGGTACTTCTTCCGTCCGTACGTGCGCGTGCGCGCGTGTCTGTATTTTTCCTAGTTTACTTTGCATTACTGATTATTATATTAATTATTAAGTGAATGAATTCATAGTTCATAATGTTGCGATCTGTTGTTGGCTTTTTATTTACCCAGGATTGTTTTATTTTATTTCCTTGTTTGAGATTCAATTTAAGTAGGTGAATTAATTATCTTCTTTATTGAAAAAATACAGAGGATTTCTAGGGTTTTATTATAATTTTATTTTTCAGGATTTATCAGTCACCAATATAATACTATTAGGGCAGCAGCAAATTGGATCAAGGACAATACTTACACCTTCAAAGGTGCTGCTTTCGAACCATTAAAGGTCTAATTTTTCCGATTTTGATCGATTCGTTTTCTTGTTGATTATCGATCGTGATCGTGTTTCGTGAATTCATCTTGTGGTTTTGAACTTTTAATATTAATCTTTACAGGCCACCGGAAACAAACCGAGCACCAAACCGAATAGCATACTCTGTGCTGACTGTGAGGGAAATGGTAATTTCTAATTAGAGCCTAAAAAACGACCGCATTTTCATTGTCGTGCGAACATTCTCGTCGCTCTCGAATCATGTTGTTTTGAACTTTATTTTTTGCATCCATAATTTGGCGTGTCTTTCGATAATTGTACATTGCCACTTTTGTAACACGGTTAGTTATTAGTCTATCACTTGACCTCTTTCGCAGCTTGTTCGTATATTCTTGGTTAGTTTGGACCTATTTTTATTTATCAACGCTGATATTTAGTCGTTTCAGAAATCGTTTATGATTAGCCAAAAATGCTGCGCTTTCTTTCTCCGTTAAATAGAATTGAGCTCGTTATTTCTGCGTTTCTGATTTTTTTTTTCACACTTTACTAGGTGCTAAAAAGTGTTCGCAGTGTGAAGGCACCGGAGTAAATTTAGTTGATCATTTTAACGGAGAGTTTAAAGCAGGCGCCAAGTGTTGGATTTGCAGGTAACATTCTTTAATTGTATTGCCTCTCTCTCTCTATCTCTCTCATATATATATATATATATATATATATATATATATATATATATATATATATATATATGAATTTAAGCTCTGTATGTATACACGCAGTGGGAAAAAGGAGATACTTTGTGGTAACTGCAACGGTGCAGGATTTATCGGTGGTTTCATGAGCACATTTGATGAGTAAAGTGAGCATACGGATAAATTGTTCGATGATTATCGAACTTTTTCAGCAAATTAGTAACAAGTACAAGAAATTTAGGATGTATATAGATATGGTGTTCATACTTCATATTTTCATACTTCATATTTTTGATATATTTTCACCTCTTGCTATTTGTTGTATTAATTTCAAACTGATGTACAAGGCATAGTGGTGTAAACGAGCCGAACTCGCCAATTTTTTCGAGCTCGAGTTCGAGCTTGAGTCAAATTTGGCGAGCTTGTCTAGATCTCATTTTATGAGCTCAAGTCGAGTCGAGCCTGTTGAGCTCAAACTCAGCTCATTTTATTATTCTCCTTTTTTTTTTTTACACATAATATTAATATTTTAATTTATTATAAATTATTTGTAATATGAAAAAAAGAAGCTATCGAATAAAAAGTAGAATTGAAAGTTATTATTTAATTATATAAATAATAAACAATCAAACATAATATAAACATATAACAAAATTGGTATTATAAATGCAAGTTTTGGGGGCGAAATGGAGATATTTCGGAATCGTTGGGCCTTGTTGTTCTATTAATGTTTTGTATTGGGCTTTTATGAAATAAATTAAATGTTGAGGGGCTCATTTCATAAATATTCAAAATAATTTCACCACAAATTTAAACGGCGTACGTTAGCAAAAAATGTAGCAGAAACGACAGAAGAAAATTGTTAAAAAAATTGTAAAAAAAAAAAGATCTTCTCAAAAATCAGAGGGAAAGAAAGAAAGGGTAAGCCTTATCTAATCCGCAGCGTTCGTTACTCTCTCAACACTTCCAACTTTCTTCTTACACAGAAGAGAGAGAAAAAAAAGGGAAGAGAAGTGAAAATAAATTCTTACAGAAATGGCGAATTCAATCTGCTGTTCACCTCTCATCTCCTTAAACAACGTTACCAAACAACAACCTGGTATGGTGTTCTCTTTTCTCTGTTTTTTTTTTTTTTTTTTTTTAATTTATTCCCCCTTTCAATTGGGTTTTTTTATATTGTCTTAATTCAATGTGGGTTTTTGTGTGTGTGTAAAATGTGTATTGGCTATTTTATTTATTTCGTCAGGGCTAATTAGTCACAAGTTTACTACTAAGAGGGCAAATTGGATTACTGATGATACTTGCAGCTCCAAAACTGCTGGTTTTGAAGCTCTCAAGGTTAGTTTCTGAGTCTTTCTTATTTCAGTTTTCACCCCTCAAGTTTGCATTAATTTCACATTTGGTCCCTCGTGTTCACTAGAAACACATTTAGTTCCTCATGCTTTCAACCATTTCACACTTTTGGTCATTTTCGTGAATTTACCGGTAGTTCGTCAGTTAAGGCAGTGATGAGCGCATGCTTAATTCCGTTAGTACTCACAGAATATTGACGAAATAGACTAAAAGTGTTTAACATGAGGGACCAAATGTGAAATTGGTGCAAACTTGAGGGATGAAAAATACAATTTTCCCATTTCTTTGCTATTGAGTTTTGTGATACATTGGCTGGTTTAGACCTCACTATTCACATGCCTGAATTTTGTGATAATTGGTTCAAATTATTGTCCGAGTTTGTTTAGATTGTTTTCTTATCCTCGTTCAATTGTTAACGGTCCCGTAAATTTCGATTCAAACTATTGTGAGGATTTTTCAGTTCATTTCAATTTTATTTTCCTCTTGTAAATTGTTTTCACTCAATTGTCTGAATTCATGGTCTTGTTCGAATTAACAGGCCACAGAGAAAAAATCGGGAACGAAAGTAAACAGCATAGTCTGTGCTGAGTGTGAGGGAGAAGGTAAGTGCAAATACTAATCATATTTTCTTCAAAGTGTTTGTTTGACGCCCGACTTTGTTTTCTTTGTGAAATTAATGCATCTTTTAGTATCGCGCTACGTTCGTATCTTATTTGATGCTTATGTAATATGATGATATTTAAGTACCTCGTTATGAAATAAATATAATAATGCAACGAAAATTTATAAATCTCTCTCGTCACTCACCACCTTCCGTCATTTTTCTGTCTTAAATACTCGTTTTGGGAGAACTTTTGGTTGTCGTGATTCTTTTGTAATTGTAATAATTTTTCATGAATCATTTGATGGGTTTTATTGTAAATTATAAACTATTAATCAATTATCTGATATACAATTGTTTTAGGTTGTAAACAATGTGGGCAATGCCTTGGCACTGGAGTCAATTCGGTCGATCACTTTAACGGGCAGTTCAAAGCAGGCGGCCTCTGTTGGCTGTGCAGGTATATTTTTACTTCGATTTTTCCAAGATTTTAAATTTTCACAATCGAGTAAGCAAGTTTTTATTAGGTGCTAGATTTTTTCGTAAAAAATTACAGCACAAAATATCTCTTACGGTGCGTTGACTTTTTTCAACTCCTGCACAGGGGTAAGAAGGAGGTTCTTTGTGGTAACTGCAACGGTGCTGGATTTCTCGGCGGTTTCATGAGCACGTACGACGACTAGCCATCTGCTCGACTATTGCTCTCTTTTTTATATTTTGTTTTATCAATTTTGTCGACAATGGTTAACGCCATTGATGAACCGACAAAATGTACCATTAATAGAACCCCTTGTATTATTGCAATAATTACTCGAAATTCTTACAAGAATCTTTAGATTTCTTTTTCCCCAATTCTTACTGGTTCCCCAATTTCACTGCTGATGTCTCGAACCCATGACCAAATAGGTCTTAGGCGCAAGCTGCTTACTAACAGGCTACCTTCTTTCGACTTTTGGAAGTCGCAGTGTTAGATATCCCATCCGTAATCTACCTTTATTATGAAAAAAAAAAAGTTGTACATCGGACGAGATAAATAGCTAGAAAAGGGCATAATTGTGGAATGCATAATTAGGAGGAGAACGACTGATACAAGAAGGCATCCTAAACCACATCCCTTCGAGTAGAAAGGTGTTGAAGATGAATGCAATGGCCTTAAGATCAGGACCGTAGATTGTTATCATCTCCGGTTTCCAGCCGTCGGATCCGTACCTCAGCAATTCTGCATAACAAATCACATCCAAATACGGGCCTTTTATCTCAAACACGTATTTCGAACATCTCTCGAACGTCCTCGTATTCGGGTCGTCTATCCTTGATACATATACCTATACACTCTAATTCTTGAAATCATTCATTACAAAAAAAAAAAATTAAAATAAATTAACGGCGTCTAAATATTTACCTCGTTGCCATAGGCGTCGCCGAATGCAAGACTGAGTTCGTCGGTGGTGTGAGAGACTGACGAACAGCTGGTTTTGATGATCACTGTGTATGAGCAGCTCTTTTCTGTCTGATTTTTTTTTTAATACATATATATATATATATATATATATATATATATATATATATATATATATATATATATATATATATATATATATATATATATATATATATTTTTTCAGATTATATTATGAAAAATAATTTTCTTAACAAAAAGTAAATTAATATATCAAAGCTTGAAAGAGGGCAGTTTTGTAATTACCTGGTTGGAATGAATGACGATGGCTGATTGATCCAGTTGATAATTAGCCACAGCAGATGCTGTGAAGAAGAAAGCAATCTGAAGGGAAAGCCACAAAGCTTTTACCATCTTTTTTATTTATTTTTTTGGCACATTTATTACATATATATTACTAAGCTTAATATTAATATTATTGAGCTTGAGCATATATATATGTAATTATGTATGGCTGCGTCCCTTTAGAAAAAGAATAAATAAATAAACAATGTTTTGGCGTGGACTACGGAGACTTAAAAATTGGCCTACATTATGATATCATTATTTGATTTTTTTTTTTTCCGGTAACGGAGGAATACGCAGTCAACTATATATGTACACTGGTTAAACTTAAATTTCCGAGAGATATATATCACTAGGTTAATTATATGTGACAAACTCGATCAAGCGACCATTAACAAAGAATTCGAACTTGAATCGGTTAACACGAATTCACTTGTTCCGATCAGTATGCCTCCTATAACGATACTTAATGAGATCACATAAAAAAGTTTTATCATATATAAATTTGTGAAAAACCATTATTGTGACTTATTGGCTATTAGACTATTACCATTAAATGTACTTTATATTAGTAGTGTGGGGCCATGGCATTGATCGATTAATTTGAAATGATTTGGTTTAAAGTAAGCCCAACAAAATATTATTTCATATAGTAGTATTTATAATATTTGAGTACAAGTTTTTGATCTTATCCACAGATTTGTGTACAAGTTTTGTCTTCAATTGTCAAACAAACCAACTAATTAAGCCATTAGACTATATGCTTAAGATTCGAAAGAAATTTGGAGACCTAAAAGATGGAGTAAATCAAGTTACAAGGACTCTACGAGGTTAGGTATAATTATAAAAAAATCTTATTTGTTTGTGTAATTACGAGCACTCCATCAATTTAATGTGTTGAAAAAAACCCTAACATAATATAGTAATTGTCTAAAGTACCCATGTGTTAAAATAATTAAACGAAACAGTAAACACAAAAAAAGGTAAGAAGATAAAGAGTTTAGAAAATAAAATTATATAAAAAAAAAAAAGAATTATTTTACTTAGATATTCTGGTCATCACAGTATAGATATTCCCTTTTTTTTTTTTTTTTAACAGCCACAATATAGATATTTCATAGAACCTATTTGATTCTGTTATTATTAACTATGTGATGGTAAATTCATTAGAGCAATCACGAATCCATAATTATCTTCTACATTTTAAAGGATATTTTGGTGAGCTTCAACAAAATTAAAATAGCCAATATATTGGGGGCAAAAATGTCATTTTAAATTAGAACCAGATAGCATGCAACGGGCCGACCCGCCCCGCCCCATTTAACACATAGATACAACCGCAGACCCGCCCCACAAATATTGTTACTATTAAAGATACCAATAGTTTGAGAGGAAAAAGTCAAAACTACCCCTATATCTCTAGGACATCCCCAAGGGCAAAACGGGAATACTCTGCTCATGCCAGAAGAAGTTATCAGGATCAACGCTCGATTTCACCCGGGCCAGCCTCTTGAAATTGCCCTTGAAATACTTAACTCCCCATTTTTGCCCATCAACAAAACTCGTATTCCCCAATCTACCCCTGTTCATCCCGAGCTCTACATCCCTGTAGTTCACATAAGCCTCCCTCGGAAACTTCGAAGCATAACCGCCCATGTAACCGTACAACCTCCTCATCCACCCGTACCGCTCGCTACGCACCGACGCGTTATCGCTCCGCCACGTCGTGAGGTACTGAGCCATGAATACGAAGCCGTTTCGATGCGGGAACGGCGTTTCTGTTTCCTGTATCCTGCTCATAATCCCGCCGTACGGGGTCCATATCATGATCGGCGATTCCTCCTCGAGGAATATTTTCCACAGTCCGTTTAGCCCGTTTTCCGGAATCGGCTGCTTGAAGAAATCCGACTTGGCTTTGAAGTAGTTTCTGAAGGGGGAGGGCCCCACTTGCAGCAGAACCGCCGGAGACGTGTTTCTCGGGTAGCCGACGCTGTACAGAACCGACTCGATCCAGCTCATCTCGACGCAGTCGTCTTTCGTCAGGCCCAGTTCGGGGAAACCCGCGTTCGTTGTTTCTAGAAGCTTCTTCGCCCCGCCGAGAAACAGTGCGCTGTAGATTGTTTGTATGCTCCTCGTGTTATTGTCGGCGTTCGTAGGTTGTATGATGACTCTGATGAAGAGATTCTCGTCGATTTTGTCTGCAACTTTCTGCCATTTTTCGAGTATTTTATTCCCGCCTTGTCGATCTTGTTGGTCAACTGTTTTCGAAACTGTGAAAACGGTAACTATTAATGGAACTTTAACCAATCTCACTTTCCATGCTAATATAATACCGAAGCTTCCTCCTCCGCCTCCTCGTATTGCCCAAAAAAGATCCTCCCCCATTGTTTTCCGGTCGAGAATATTCCCTTTCGCGTCGACGATTCTTGCATCGATCACATTATCAGCTCCGAGCCCGTATTTCCTCATCAGCGCACCGTAGCCCCCGCCGGTTATATGCCCGCCGACGCCTAAGCCGGTGCATATGCCGGCCGGGAAGCCGTGGGTTCGGCTTTTCTGCGAGATTCTGTAGTAGAGCTCGCCGATGGTTGCGCCGGCCTGGGCCCACGCTGCATTTTCCGGTATGCTGACATTGACGGTCCTGAGATTCCGGAGGTCGATCAGAACGAACGGCGGCGATTGTGATTTGAGGAGTTGGGAGGTGTAGGAGATGCCCTCGTAGTCGTGGCCCCCGCTTCTGAGGCGGAGCTGGATGTTCCCGAGCGCTCTGGCGCATACGACTGCGGCTTGGACGTGAGATTCGGATAACGGCGTGAAGATTAGGATCGGCTTCGGCATTGAAGGAGACGAGCAACGGAGATTTTGGGCGGTGGACTCGAAGATTGTGGTGTATGATGGAGACTTTGTAGTGAAGAAGTTGTTGTTGGTGGTTGTTGAGTTTTGAGGGATTAGGGTTTTGGATTGCTTTGCAACACAAATTGGGAATGATTCTTGAATTTTTTGATTTGATATTGTTGAAGCATTTGAAATTGATAGTATGAGTAGAATGTATAAAGTGAGGAGCAAAAAGATGTGAGAATCCATTCTTTAATTTGTTGTGCTAATTAATTAGGTTTGATGTAAGGGTTTTTGGGAGATTAGTGTTACTTATGGAGTTAGTTAGTGTATATATATATTCATAAGATTTATATATATTTTTACATATATATGTGTGTTTTAATTAATTTAAAATTAAAAAATGAAAATTTAATAGGTGTATTTGATAGTGTAGCATCTAGGAAACCGGTTGACGGCTTCTAAAGGAGTTAATTTGGATCTAAGTCAACTCTATGGATAGAAGGAAGTGAAATATAATTATATTGTTTAATCAAATTTGGCACGCAAATTCCCATTTCTCACGTTAGGGTTTTGTATTTTAATTTGTGTACAATTAATTAATTGCAACTTCAAAATCATCTAAACATGTTAAGAGTAAAAGTTATCCTACTTGTAATGTATTGAATTTTGAAATAGATTGTACTTATACACTAGCTATTGTATACTACCACTCAGATCTGTTTGAAAATTAAAATCGGATCGGAAATTGGTTGCCTCATGTATTCGGAATGTGAAACGAATAATTTTTTTCCAAATTGAAATCCAATTTTTACCCTTAATCCTATCATAGGCCGGAGATCAATATATAGCATATCGCCCATTGAATGTCGAAATGTGCAAATTGTGTGCGCGTGCGCGTGCATGTACCAAGTTTACAGCAACGACATGGAAATTATGGTAATAATCAACAGGCACAAAGTTTAATCATAAATAAAAAACAGAGTAAAATTATGTACACAAGAAACGGAATCTTGAACGGGGTTCGGGAAATTTAAGAGTAATTACAACTTACAAGTTACAACCTTAAAATAGACGTGGACGAAATAAAACGGGGGGTGGGGTGTCGGGGGCCCGCATCAAGAAAGTATGAGACGAAGAATTTGCCCCGAAAACTTGAATGATTTCTCAGTTTCTTCTAGGCAATGGTCCTTCTCCTCCCTACTCCAGCTCTGAATCAAACATCATTTATATATATAAGTAATTAATTATATGTGTATACAGTAGAACCTCGATAAATTAATAACCTCGATTGATTAATAGTTTCTCTCGGTCCTTGAGTTGGTGAAAACGTGTTAAATTATTAACTCGATAATTTAATAATTTGCTAAATTAATAGAATTTCTCTGGTCCCGACTGTATTAATTTATAGAGGTTTACCTGTATTTGTTTATATATGTAGTTAAAAAGAAGGGAGGAAAAAAGTATGTACTTGAGCAACTCGATCGAGCTTATCTCGGACATTCTGCAATAGTTGCGACAGCTCACCATCCCATTTGTAGAACTCCAATTCCTTCCCATCGAGAATCTTCTCCGCTACCTGATCAAAAAAATTATTAGCTAAAATGAGTATATTATTTTTCGGCTAAAAATTTTAGCAAAATCGAAATAAACCAAACAAAGAATTTCAAATAAGATTGACTGCCGACCTTTCTACCAATCATCCTGCCACCTGCCGTGTGGGCGAAGTACGTGTTATAGAAATGGCAAATGAAAGACTGAGGATCTTTCTCAGACAACTCCTCGAGGTACTCGGCGTAGCTAATCCCGGGAGAAGAAGGTTCCGGAATCCCGTGGCCTTGTTGCTTGAACCATTCGAGATCTTTCGCTAGACTTTCCGATCTCTCTAGCCCCGTGTTCCTGAATTCTGCATCTGCAAAACAACGTATCCGAACACGCAACTTAGTAATCTCGAAAAAATGGCCGATACAAATCATCTGCAAAGAGATCATCCGAAAAAAAAAAATCGAATACAGAAGTTGCACTAATCGGTCATATATTGGAATCAAGAATCGCCCATCATTGAACAAGTGTCGATATTTGTAAAACGGGGAAAAACGGAGAAATGAAAATTATACGAACAAACTCTGCAAGCAATATTTCGACCACGGCAATAACTATCCAACACGATATAATGGCACATGTAAGGATTGTTGCAACATTTCAACATCGATTAGATAGTTTACTTCGATCATTTCATCGACTGTATAATCGAAACAATCCAGATTCACAACCTCAGTCATAATCAGCACAAATTCAAACCAACAAGCAAATAAACGAACACGAAAACACCGGAAAAAAACACCCGAAATCGAGAGTATACTCACACTCGGGAAACGCGGCTTTGTCGACAATCCGCTCGAGGGTATCGTAAACCAGCTTACTGTCAACCAAGAACTGCAAGTAACCCTCAAAACTAGGGTTCCATTTAGCAATAGGTTGACCCTTTGGCTCCTTCTCTCCTTCCTTAGCTTGGTCCTTTGTGTGAAGTTTCATAGCCACAAATCTCATCTCCTCCACGAAACCCTTCGCCTCGCCGGGGTACCTTTTCTTCGGCTTCTCCGCCGCCGTCGTGGCTGAAACCACCACCATCCTCGCCGCCGCCTTCTTCACCGGCGCAAAACTCGACATGGGCAGCGACAAAAATTGGGATTTGGGCGTTTTCAAGATCGATAGCTGAGGTTTCTTGAATTGGGATTGCGAGATGGGTGTTGTTATAGAAGCCATCGTTGGCGAAGAAGAGTGTTTAAATTGTTTAACCTAAAAAAAAAAAAGAAAAAAAAAAGTCTTTCTTGATTGAGACGGGATAGTTTAAAGATTGGTGTTGAGTGCAAACAAAAGATAAAAGAGATAGTATATTTTGAAGGTGCAATAATGGAGGTTCGTGTACGCTACAGAAACTATAGATACAGCAGAGGTGTATGTAATTTTCTTGAAAGGGGGCTCGCCTTTTTTTATTGGGCAAAAGAAAGAGGGGCTGTATTTCTGCAGCTGATGAGGATTGAGTGCAATTAATAAAATAATTAATTAAATTGAAGTTCAATCCACCATTGGAGTGGATAGGTTTTCTCCAATTTTGTATTCAATGATGAGGAGGAGGAGATGATTCGTCACGTTTCAGTAGATTCGAGACGACGTCGTTTTGGTGCTAAACTTTGTCGTTTTGAGCAATTTATGTGGTTTGGGACATGGGCTACACATGGTACGCCTTGTGCCATAAATTTTAGGTACTTGTGTAACCAAAATTTGTGCTCCCAATAGCACGATAAATAAGGGGAAACAAATTAATAAAAAATATAGTAGTAATAAATAAATAATTTCCATTTTAAAGGTAAATATTTACCAACTTATTAATCTTGTACGTAGACATGACTAGGGGTTACGTAGACATGACTAGGGGTGTAAACGAGCCGAATTCGCCTTATTTCGTGAGCTCGAGCTCGAGGAGCCTGTAAGTTTCGCGCTCGAGCTCGAGCTCGAGCTCTTTGTGTTTCTAAGGAGCTCGAGCTCGCGCTCGAGCTCGTATACGAAACGAGCCCGAGCTCGAGCTCGAGCTCGAGCTCGGCACAACCAAAAATCCATCCATTAAATTTATTTTTTCAATTAAAAAAGTAATATTATTCTTTTTTATTTATTATTAATAATATCAATTATTATATATTATTAATATGTATTAAAAAATACAGAGAAAAGGTAAAGCTCGCGAGCCTGCTCGCGAGCTTTCGAACAACTGAAATGAAGCTCGAGCTCGACTCGTCGAAAAGCTTGGGCTCGTGAGCTCGAGCTCGAGCTCGATTTTTCGAGCTCGAGTACGAGCTTTTTTTCGAGCAAGCTTCGGAAGCTCGCGAGTCGGCTCGTCTCATTTACACCCCTAGACATGACCACCCGAACCGGAACCGGTTTGACCAGAAGCAGAACTGGAACCGGAAAAATTGGTTCGGTTCCGGTTCGCCATTTTTGTAACCGCTAACCACCGGTTAGAACTGGTCTAATCGGGGTTTTTTTTTTTAAATTAAATATCAATTATAACTAAAACTAATTATTTCCTTTTCTTTTTTTTTTTAAGCCCTTTCAATTACTTTCCTTTTCGTTTTTTAATTTTTAATTCTAAAATACAAAACTATTTTTTTTAAGTACAAAAATATTTTTTTAAAGTATTCTTAAAAAAAATTTAAGTATTTTTCCAAAAAAAATAAGTTTTTTAAGTATTCTTTCCAATGTTTTTTTTAAACATTAACTATTTTTTAAAGTTGAATATAATAATAATAATAATAAAAAATATTATTAAGAACCGGTCGATTTTACAGACCGTTTGGAACCGAACCGTAAAGAACCGGAAATATTCGGTTCGGTTCTGTTCCGATTCCTCCAAAATCAAAACCGGAACCGGAACCGAACCGTACCGTGGTTATGTCTATTTGTATGTATAATAAATTACCTAATTCTTCCGTATCACACAAATATAAAAAGCCATAATTCGGTCCCGACTTGGTGACAGTATACCAAATTATTAATTCGACAATTTTATATTGCACTAAGTTAATAGAATTTCACTGGTCTCGATTGTATCAATTTATAGAGGTTTAATGCGGTCGATTCTATACTATTTGGAAATTAGTCTTTCACTTTTTCTTTCCATGTATCCATATACTTTATATCCATTTTAATTATTGAATTAACTATTTATTTAAAATACAATAAATATATTATATCAATTATTTTTAGCTCAAAATATTTAACAAAACAAAAAAAAATATTTGTTGTAAAATTCAATAAATCTATTTTATTTATGGGTGGATTTTAATTTACGAAAGTAACAAAAAAACTTTTTATTGTAAAATACTATAAATCTATTCTATTTATTTTTATTTAAGAAATGAACAAAACCATAATTATTTATTTTTTCCTTCATCAAATACCATTGTTCCATTATTTGCCTACATACATGAATTATTGAATTCTAAACTAAAAATAACATAGTTTTTTTTTTTTTTTCTCATTTCTTCATTAAGCATATATAATTAATAATAACTCACATATATATAGTGAGTCAATTGATTTTTGAACAAACCTTTCTAATCTCCCCTTGTGCACCACTCTTTACCTCAATGCTACTCATTTTAATCATAGCTTTCGGGAACTCGAAATTAAACCTAAAACCAAGCAAACCTCTTATACTCCCCGCGTAATTATCGACAATTCTACGCGTTGATGAGTCACCCCAAAGCCTTTGGTCCGATTCAAGAATGCCGTTACCGTTCCTCAGATTCTTGAAGAAACTCGAGTCGAATTTGAACTGGCTGTCTTTATCCAACGCCACCCTTTTCGAACCGTCTCCATCTTTTGAACAAAGAGATTGTAATGTACCTAAGAATGATTGGCTTATAGTCGGATCAGCGGTCCCACTTGCCGTGAAGTTGTAGAGTCGATATCGCATGAAAAGGCAATCTGTTTGCCCTATGCTGTGTGCTCCTATATGATCATAATATACATGTAAGTTGTCATACACATGTGTGTATATACGTGTGTGTGTGTGTATAACATAAGTAGGGATGGAGATTGTAACGGAATTTTCGAATTATGCTAATTTCATTACGAACGATTCTGAATCTTGAAGAATATTTTTCATTCTGAATCCCGATTTTCATGATATTTTAAGAAAAGGATTAGAATATATATTAGATTTCAATTTCCGATTTGATTTAGTTTCTGAAAATATTTTTGAAAATTTAGAAAAAATAACAAATTACATTTCTAATATTAATACTAGTGTATATTTTATATTATAGATGACTAAAAAATTTAAAGTTCTGAATTACACTAATTAAATTTGATCCGAAAGTTTCTGATTTGGGAACAAGTTTTTTTGTTCCAATTTCTGAACTCCAACTTTACGATTTTTTTTTTATTTTTTTTTTTTGGTTTGCAGATTGGGATGAGTTTAACACTTCTACAAAAAGAATAAAAAATTCTAAAGTGCTAATTCCGATCCGACCCGATTTCCACCCCTAAACACGAGTATCTCTTTTAAAAAGTTTGAAGTTTCAATTTATTACCAACAAGTGTGACAAGATCATGGTCATCAAGGCCTTTGGCTGCAAATTTCTGTTGCTGAATAGCTACGGAATCGAAAGGGCTCGGCAAATTGGAAGCTTCCGAAGACAAAGATATTCTTCCGTCTCTTCTTCCCGTACCCACTCCCCAACTCGGGCCGCCACTCTGCATATATATATATCGTGTCATACAAAAAAAAATTACGACAAACTCTATATAATGATAACAACAACAAAATTACAACGAAAAAAAAAATAAAAATAAAAGTTACCAAATCGACAGAATCACGAGCAGCCAACGCTAATATATCGGCACACGAGACGACACCTGGACACAAGGCCTCGAGCTGCGATTTAGCATCATCAATCACTTGAAATCCTCTCAACCCTAAATTAGGCACCGCCTTTCTTTCCGAAGAAGGAGTGTCGATCAAAACCGAAGCGTCACACCCCTGTGTGCACAACGTAGATAAAGAGTATTACTCACTGAAAATTAAAATCATTAGCTACAAAAAAAAATTGATATTCAAGAAAGAGTTATATATAAATATTTACTTGAACGAAACAATCGTGAAAATGGAGCCTGAGCAAAGCGGCAGCCAAGGTGGAGTCTTGGTTGAAATGGGATTCGACTGTCGATCGAACTATCGACTCCGCTTTAGGACACGAAGAAGAGTAGAAGCCTGTTTTTAGTGACACTATTTGACCTAAGGCTGGAAATATTATTACATTAGTGATAAGAATCAGCATGAGTAGAAAAACTACTGAGTATAGAGCTTCCATTTTTTAGTAGACTGTTATATTTGCTAATGTTTCTTAGTCACTTATATATACTGTTAGTTAGTTCCATAAAATTATTAATTAATTAATTAATTGCTTTTATTTTTTATTTTTTATTCTATACTTTTTTGGTTGTGGCTTTTGTGCATGAGTTTGTTGCTTTATGCCTGCACTACGTGTTGGATCCCTTTTATAGCTTTTATTTATGTCTTTTTTTCACTTTTTATTATTACTATGGGTAAATTACGATCACCCCTGACGTATGGTCAAATTACGAAAAAAAACCCTCATGTTTGGGTAGTTACAACCACCCTCCTCAATTATGTATTATCTTAAGAAAATACCCACCCAAAGGTAAATTTAAGGGTGTTAAATCGGTAAAATCGAACCGAAATTTTGATACGCCAACATTTCATACCGTTTACTGAACTGAATATACTATTTGGTTTGGTAATTAAACGAATTACATAAATTTTATGTAAAAATATTTAAAAGGAAGAGGTGGTTGTAATTACCCAAACAAGAGGGGTTTTTTCATAATTTTATCACACCTCTCAAGGGTGGCCGTAATTTGCACTTATTATTATTATTATTTGTTTATTTTGGAATATTTCTCATAGTTCACATTTGCTTTTTGGTTTCATTATCAAATGCTACAGAAATTCTCCACAATCTTAGTGCTGATTTACTTTGCAGATAATTGGTGACCACTCATATAGAATTTCTCTTTTGTATTGCTTCAATTTGAAGGTATTGTTAATTAATCCATGTGAAACTTGCAAAAATTAGTCAAATTAAATAAAGATGCATTATTAAGTTCATGGATTATGACTCATTGCAGTGGATTGATTAAGATGTTTAATATAATCTCTTTATGGCACAATCAACATAGGGAATTTATTTTTGTGATGAATTAAATAATCGGTAAATTCCACTTTACCCCTTCCTACTCTCGATTGAATCGATTTGCCCCCCTGCACTTGAAAAATTACCTCAATGTGGCCCTCGTTGTTAGTTGTCAGACATTTGACATTAACACCGTTTGATCTAGGCTCTAAAATTACAACAACGCCACCTCTCCCAGTATCAATAATTATTAAAAAAACAAAAATAAAACAAAAACAAAAAAAAATTAAAAATTCAAGACAACGAGAAAACATAGTCCACAACACCAGCCACTATTTATTTTTTATTTTTCTAATAATTATTTAAACAAGGAGGGGTGGTTTTTTGTAATTTTCAAACTTAGATCAAACTGTGTTAAGGTCAAAGATATAAAAATTAACGGCGAAGACCGCATTGAGAAAAAAATTCAAATACAGGGGGACAAATCAATGCAATAGAGAGTAGAAGGGGGTAAAGTGGCACCAAGCCAAAGTACAAGGGGGGAAAGTAGAATTTACCCTTAAATAATTAATCAATGTATTTTTTTTCTTTTTTTATTTTATTTTAATTATTTGCATAAATTCTATTAACCATAACAACACGCAATACAGTTTCAGTAATAGCCTAATAGGTAAGCAAAAACAAGAAGAAAAAATAATTAATAATAATTATTGTAGTCAAAGACCTCAATTTTAAGTCAACCCCTCCCATTTGTCACTATTCCATCACCACCAACTCCTCCATCATTTCCCAACTCAACCATGGTTGAGTCAACCAGCCACTGCAAGATAAAATTTTCAGTAGCTATGCTGTGTCACACTCATTTTATTTTCTGAGAATTTATTTTTATATTTATTTCTTTCTTTTTTCGAATAAGAAACCAATTTCAATTTGCTACTCAAATAGGCTATATTTAAATTTTCGAGCGGGCTAACCTTAAGTTCTTGTTCCGACTTTTTGAATCTCTCATCGTAGTCTCTCATTTGCAGATAACATTTATGCAACTGCACAAGTCACAACATTTAGACAGAACAACAACTACCAAAATTAAAATGATTTCGGAAAGAAAACAGAAACAAATAATTCAACACAATAATAACACATTACCTTGGTTAGTTGAGTGTGACGACGTGAGGTACTCTTTTTGGCAGAAATTAACGAGTCCTCCAAATTCTAGGTCAAAAAAGTTCGTCATTAGGAAAAGAAAGCAAAAGATAGAGAATTCGTAATGTAAAACCTGTATGAGAAAGACGAACTATTTTACCTGGTATTTTTCCTGTAATTTAGAAACAACGTCTTCTTTGTCTGCAACCAGTTCTTCCAACTGAGATATCTGATGAATTACTAAAATATTAATTTCTATTACCACATACAGCAAAATTTTCAGAAGAAAAATTTCTTTGACGACGTTTCCTAGTATCTATAGATACCAGTAAATGGAGAGTAAAAATTGCGCCAATAAATTAATTCCTAAACAAAAGTGTACAACTGAAGAAATATGCGGACACGTAGAATAGTTATTACATAATCAGCACAACCACATCCACCTGTCGATTTTTTTTATTAGTATATATTTTTGGGACAAATCACACCAACTTTTAGGGGGTGGGCAGGTCTACAGGAAAATCGGAAGTAAATGTTTACCTCGTTCCGCAGCTCTTCGAGCTTTTGATTTGAAACTGCTAATTTGTTTTCACCCTGTTGATGTAGACAAGAAACGGGAATTAGTCAACCTGATTTCGAACATATTAAGGCGCTCACACACACACGCGCAATATATATATATATATATATATATATATATATATATATATATATATATATATATATATATATATATATATATATATAAGAAAAGATCAAGAATGCAACCTGGTCCATATCACCATTGAACGACTCTATAGAAAGCTCTCTGCTCCCATGATCATCAAATCTAGACCTGCTCAGGGATTATATAATTAATTTCTACAGAAGCTTCCATCAATAAAGCATACAGAAAATAACAACTTTAATTATGCAGCTATGAACTGAATTCACATGTATTGTCCGACAGCAGTAAATGCTCAGAAGCGAGTCAGCCGTTGCAACTCAATCATTATGAAACTATATTAAATCTATTGACTAATTATGCAAGTAAAGCAATAGTTGCTTAATTTGACTGCAAGAATCAAGGCCATGAATAAATGATGACTAATGCAAAAGACCACTTGGGTCATATGTAAAGTATTTTACAAGGTCTTACGTAGTCTTAACATAGACATCCTAGTTAACGGATAATAAAGCGGCCCAATTATTGGCACCTTACAATGGTAGTCAGAATCCGCATTCAAATCCTAACATCCTAAGATTTAACGATTTAACTACCCTCAACCTTGCTGAATCATCGTAGAATCCAAATCCTAGAAAAATCCTTCAAGATTGGGAGTCGAATCCATTAAAACCTTAAAAATCCAATGTTTTAACCGGATTTGAAGGATTTTACTTTATGTACCAACTTGTACCCCGTTTTTCGAAACAACAATCAAGCAGCTGCAAGGATAATCAAAATTTTGAATTTTCCCTCCCAATGTTTTATCTCTATAGCATGTCACTATGAACAAGCTCCTTTTCTCATGATCTTTAACTCCAATGGCATTCCCCCACAAAAAAGAAAAAAAAAAGAACAAGGAACAAAAAGAAAAAAGAAAAAAGCTCATATTTTTGGTTTTATTTCATCTCCCATCAGCAGCTTTTACTCAAAGGCAGCAAAAAAAAATTGAAAATAATGGATTTCTACATAGTGACCACAAAAGAAAATGCCTGGTCTTCGAGATTTGGAGCTCCCAAGTTTAAAAAAAAAAAACAACTAAACTAGATTAGTGATATTCAACCATCTGTGCTTGCACCCAAACAAGTAGGAACAATTAGTCTTCAATGCAAATGCACAAAGAAATCGAAACAGCTACACACTCGAGAGGGAAAAGTATCTATAAGCTTCTAGACAGAAATTTACAGGAACACACTGCTGACTAAAAGATGTCATCATAAAACAAACAAAAATATAAATTCCTGCCTATTACCAAAAAAAAAAGTCCAAAGCACGAAGCAGTTACCTATTCACTCCACTTTTATGATGACTGTTGCTCCTTTGTTGCTCGACATTTCTATCTCTATCTCTATCTCTTTCCCAATCGCGCTCGCGCTTTCTCCCATGCTCATGCTCGACATCATCCACATGTCTATTATTATCATTGTTATTATAATCCCGAAATCTCTCTTCATCCACATACCGATCCCTTGTTCGATCATGGCCACGTATACGATCTTGGTCTTCAGACCTTCCCCTATGTCCCTCCTGATGTCTCTGTCTATCATAATTGTCATCTCTTCCTCGATCTCTGCCCCTATCACCATCACTACTCCTCTCCATATCATGTCGAGAACTTTCATGGTTAAAGTTTGTTCTCCCTCCTCTAGTTTTGACTTCATTCACCTTAATAACTCGCCCGTCAATGGTCTGAATCAAAACTTTATTAGGTCAATATTTTGACGAACCAACATGGTGTGTGTGTGTGTGTGTGTGTGTGTGTGTGTGTGTGTGTGTGTGTGTGTGTGTGTGTGTGTGTGTGAGAGAGAGAGAGAGAGAGAGAGAGAGAGAGAGAGAGAGAGAGAGAGAGAACCCTTCCATCCATCTCCTTGATGGCTTGAAGCGCTGATCTAGGGTTAGCAAAAGTAACAAATCCATAGCATTTCCCCCCAATGGCCCGGTCATTGATTATCTGGAGATCAGATATTGACAGTCTTTATCTTAATGCTCTATATAAGTTAACGAGGAGAGCAGAGAAACGGATATACAAAAAATGTAGCACCGAAATGTGCGGAATCAATATACTCTTTCAATTCAAGGAAACACAACTGCATTCTTACTGGGAAGATTCGTAACAACAATTGATGCAGATAGCATGGCATCAGAAAAATCAGTTAAAAGAACTTTTGCAACGAAAAAAGGGCTCCTACAGTCCTACAGTAATATATTGAATCATGTTTTTTATTCAAAATCCTTCTAAAAGACCAAATAAAGTCTAATATATGTCCTTACTTCTAAGTCATTTAGGTGTAAAACGGATTAGTTTTGAAGCATTATAATAACTGCGACCGGAGATTTCTGTTTTCTTAATTATCTGTGCTATTCTACTATTTAAATAAATCCCTTTAAATCAAATCAACATAAAAAAACTAACATGAAGAGTATGAGATAAACTAAAATTAAAATCAAGTATTCCCCAAGAACTGAGATATAAAATACAAATTTCTGCGTACCCTTGCTACGGAAAGTAAGGAACTAAGAGTTACAATCAGATGCAGAAACATCAAATACACCATTAGATAATATATATATATAATAAAAAAAAAAAAAAAAAAAGTGGCTCCATTGAAGAGTGAGCTGCTGCAAGGTACAAGTAAAGCGGAAGAAATCAAAATCAATGTTCAGAAGACAGAGTTCATATCCCGTAAGCACGAAATAACTGATTCGGTAAATTGACAAGGCTAAAACAGCAGAGAAATTGGTTTTTTTTTTTTTTTTTTTTAAAGGACTGATGATACCTTGACGGCGACGACGGCGCCGTATTCGTAGAATACTCTCCGGAGCCCTTCCTCGCCGATGTCGTAGGGGAGACCACCGACGTATATGGAGCTGTTGTCGTCGACTGTCATTGTTTTCCGGCTCTCACCAAATTTACAGGCCAATTGCCCCCAAATTTCAAGTGATAATTTTTGCCCTAGTTTTCGATTTTACTGATCAGTCCCTATTGGGACAGCGCGCTAAATAAATTATTCAATAAAAAAATATTATATAACAAATTAGCAATTATGAAAACTTATTTAAATTTAATTTTTACATAAATTAATAATGCCTTAAAATGTAGAATTTATTTTGAGATGTATATTTAGCGTATTTTATTGTTTGTAATTTAAAATTGATGTCATCTTCTTTTATTTTTGGCGGCCGTTATATGCAAGCCCATTTTTTTATTAGTTCAAACCCACATTAAGAGATTTATTAGTTCAAACCCATAAATTAATTTAATTTTATTATAACAAGACCAAAGAGGACGAATATACCCTTATCCTTAAATAATACCTAAATACAAATTAACCCTACTTTTTTATTTGTACAAAACCAAAAAATAAAAAACACAAAAGAAATTAAAAAAGAAAAAAGAATACGTAAAAACAAAACGGCCGCACGACCTTGGCAGAAGACCGCCGCACGCCTACCGCAGAAGACCACCGCACGACCACCGCCCAAGACTGCCGCACGACCACCACTAGACCGCCGACGACGATCAGCAAGCCACCACCACCGCACCATCACCACCACCAAACCATCTCCACCGCACCATCACCACCACCACCAACAAGTAAGGCCCTCTTATGAAACTTTTGTTTATACATACGAAAACATCAATCGAGTATAGATTCTTGATAAATATGTGTGGATGAACATTAATCTATACTTATTTCTTGTTGGGTTGCAATGATTTATGCTATTTGGAAAAAAATTGAGATTGAAATTGGTTTTTTTTTTATTCTTCGTTATTCCGGAAATCGGTTTATACAAACTGATTTATTTTAAAAAAAATCGGTGTTATGATGCTGAAATTTGTTCACCAAATAGGCTATAGAACTTCAATTTTACAAAAAAAAAATGGCGTTGTAATGTCGATTAATGATTACAAAATCGAGTTTAGTATACCGATTTTTTTCGTTTTTTTTTTTTATATATATTTGATCAATTGATTTTTTTAAATTTTTTTTAAATGTCGAAGGCTACAACTGCGCAACTGAACGGATACTTGACGCTCTTTCATGCGTGGATTTACGAGCATTTCCCATCCTTCAATCCAACATTTCGGCCAAAGTTTGAGGGGTACTTGGCCAACCGATGGGTGTATCCGAAGAATTCGACGACAAGTGTGGAACGAGCACGGCATTTGCGTTTGATGTTAGACGAGTTGAAACCGGATGAGGTAAATTGTCAATTGTTTGTTAATTTTTTTTTTTCGATTTTTGAAGGAGTTAATAGTAAACATATTCGCGTAGGTTATATAGGACCCATATTTAGAACTTCGTGATCGTTTCCCGATGCCCGAATCGGCGTGGTTCAGCGGAATGCTATGTTGCTTGGACTTCTTGCAGCCACACCATCCAGATAGGGTATTGCGCCAGTTTAGTCGGGTCCAACAAATACCGGGGTGTCCCTACATGTCCGAAACTATGGCGAAGCAATACATGGCGAAGAGATACAGGTCACGTGATAATTCTGAAATGTCATTTGTCCCACTCCACGATCGTTTATTCGATCGATGGGATGAGTATTGCTTGGATGCCGAGACGAGATCGACTCCAGTACTTGATGGGCAGCCCGATACGTCTTCTGCGTATATGGATTGGTTTAGAGAGCACACTCTTACTCGCCTTAGTACCGCTCAGGCATCTCGACCACATGCACCACGATCCAAAGCAGCTCGACCACCGCAAGACGTTGGGACAGATCCACCACAATCAAGGGACATGAAGATCTTTGACATGGTTAAGGGAACTCTCACCAACGTACGTCAAATGGACGTTAGTGATGCTCATAGTACAATGTGGTCGACGTTGAATGAGATCTTAGCATTATTTGATGAGACCCCGTCGACCATCCTGCCGTCGTCATCAGCTCCTACACCGACATCCTCACCACCGGCACCATCGGCACCATCTTCAACATTGGCCCCACCTGCAGACCAACCACGTAAGGTCTTTCGGAGGAGGACGGCGATGAAGAAGTAGTATTTTATATTTTGTAGTATTTTGCTAAGACAATTTCACTATGCATAGTATTTATAGGTTTTATTTATCTTTTTTGGACTTGATCAATTGGATTGCAAATTGATTTCTATTTCATTTTGATGGTTTTATTATGCTATTAATGATATATTTATCGCACATGATAGTAATCATACATTGGAAAAAAAAATAAAAAAAATAAAAAAAAAACGAAAACAGATAGATATCGGTACTAGAGAACCGATTTTTCTTTACAAAATCGGTTTTCAAGTACCGATATATCACGGTTTTTCCAAAAAAAAATTAACAAAAAAACCGTGAAATATCGGTTCTTGAAAACCGATTTTTCATTAAAAAATCGGTTTTCCTATACCGATTTACAACTTTTTTTTTTAAATTTTGGAAAAACAGAAAAATATCGGTGCTAGAGAACCGATTTTTCAAAGAAAAATCGGTTTTCTAGAACCGATTTTTTATTTCAAAATCGGTTCTCTAGCACCGATATATGTCTATTTTTTTTTTTTTTTTTTGTTTCGAAACTTTGGTCTCATGGTAACTTTTTAACTTTTTTTAAAACCCGTGAGATATCGGTTCTAGAGAATCGATTTTTAATTCATGAATCCGATATGTCATTGTTTTTCGCTTTTTTTTTTTTTATGTTTTTTCCAACTCGTTATACACATTATTCTAAGGTGTAATACAACTTTAGAGGTATGCTTCATACATATATATGTTCCAAGTCTCTCTTTCAATTGCAATTTCTGACGATAATTGTAAATTGTCCTCATTCCAGCTACATTCGTCTCGTCCCTTATCTTCAATGATTTGAGAATCGCCTTCGGCTTTGCCATTGCTTTAGACATTCCTTCAACAAGTACCATCTCTTCTTTTGTTAGTCTCCCGGCATAAGAGTGGCCGTGCAAGTTCTCAAAATCCGTGTGGGTGTGAGTACCACATTGAACTTTTAAATCCCACCCAACATTATCAGTATCCTTTCCTTGTTTTGTCCCATTTAATCTAAATGTGCAATTACATTTTTTAGAACCCGTCTTCCTCTTTCCCTCTCCTTGGTCATCCTCACCGGCTTTCTTCTTCCCACGATATTCACCCGCACGTTCGCATGCGAGTATTACATACGGTCTTCTACGCCCTTTCAATCCCGGATTTCAAACGAAAGTGTTTATCACCATTCCGTGGCGTCTACCAACACCTTTAACCCACTCAAGTAGAGCTTCTCGTGTCTCAAATATTTGTTCCATAGAAAATTCATCCGAATAATCCTCCATCAATCCCCTAGGTTGCTGCAAGAAAGTACGGGAAAACGGTCTTAAAAAAACATATATAATAAAATCGGTTCTCAAAAACCGATTTTATGTAGTCTAAATCGGCATGATAACACCGGTTATAGACAAAAAATCGGCTTTGTCATGCCGGTTTTTACTACACAAATCGGGTATTGAGTACCGATTTGTATTCCAATAATCGGACTATAGTTGCCGATTTTTGCAACAAAAGTCGGTTTATAAATACCGATTTTTTGTGTCGTCGATTTTTTTTCCAACAAAAAGAAAACGACCCAAAAGCAAAAATAAACGGTCAAAACATACCTTATTGTGTTCTCCACCCTCGTAAACCACCATATCATTGTTTTCTGGCTCCATCTTGAATGTTTGGTGTGTATTTGATAATTTCGACGTGTAGGGTTTCTTGGTGGCTTTGTGAAGAAGAAGGAGGAGATTTTTAAGTCGTGAAATAATGAAAGGAGATTTCTAGGGTTATGTATTTTATTTGGTCTTGCACAAAGGAAATATATTTTTATTTTTTTAATATTTTGTGTTTTTTATTTACTTTTGAATTTCATTAAGGGTAAATTAGTATTTTCATGTTAGAGGTCTTGAACTAATGAAAAAATGGACTTGCATATAACGACCGCCTATATATTAATATTTTATGGGGAAATATGCAATACACCCCTCAAATAGAAAATATTTTGAACTAAACCCAATTGACTTGGAAAGACTTTTCCCAACACCCAAATTTCATTCTTAATTAGTGAGACCCCCCTAGACTAGTGTGAGAAGACAAACCTACCCTCAACTACTATAACCCTAATTATTTGCTCACCTACCACTTTCATCTTCTTCTCCACCTCTCCACCTAAACTCTCAAAACACTCCTAAAATTTCAAGCTTCATCCACCGCCGCCGCGCCGCCACCGCCGCTCATCGTCCGCCGCCACCGCCACCGCCGCTCATCGTCGGCGCCACCGCCACCGCCGCTCATCGTCCGCTGCCACCGCCGCTCATCGTCGGCGCCACCGCCACCGCCGCTCATCGTCGACGCCGCCGCCACCGCCGCCTCTCTCACGCCGCGCCGCCACCACCGCCATCTCCGTTGTCGTCGACTCCCCCTCCCTCTCTTTCATTAATTTTCTACCTTTATTTATTTATTTTTCGATTTCTCTCTCTTTCCCTCTCTCTCTCTCTATCTCTCTCTCTCTGTTTTTTTTTTTTATTTTTTTCTACAGATCTGGAACATATTTATGTATCAGTAGCAGCAATATTCTTTTTGGGAATTGTGCATATGGGTCATTTCTACATAGTAAAGCTAATCATTGTTGTCCGAGGAACATAGCTTATGATGATTGTGCAACTGTTTAATTTTTGATAGATTTGGTATCATAAAATTTACTAAAGTATGCATCAGTTGCACCTGCCTATATTTCGTACTTCTGTTAGATTTTTCGTTTATAGAAGATGATGTGCCGGTTCAATACCTGGTTTCCACTTTTTATGATAAATCAATGTTTCCTTGCTTGCGATGGTGATAATGAGGAAATTTTGGGATTTGCTAAGCTGTTCAATGATGAACTCACACTAGATAATATCAGCAGGTTCATTTTTTCGTATTCATAATTGTATCTCATTGTTTAAGATTAAAATATACAACAATCATTACATGATATGGTTGTGTTTTTTGCAATTTAGGCCTCGTCTAGTGAATATGTGCAAGTACATGGGAATCAGCTCTATTGGAACAGACTCTTACTTGCGGTATATGCTACGGAAAAGGTTGCAAAGGTGTGTTGTTTCCCATTCCCTTCACTGTGGTAGCAGCAACATATAGTCATATTCAAATATGACTATAGTCATATTTATGTATTTAGTTAGATGAAATGAAGCGTACTCCCCCTCCATCTTGTTTGTTAATTTTCTCCCTTTATTTATGTACTTTCGATTTCTCTTTTTTTTTTTTTTCCTCAAGATCTGAAAATATAATTTCAGATCTGTACAGTAACAGCAACATGACTATAGTCATATTCAAATATGACTATAGTCATATTTATGTATTTAGTTAGATGAATTGAAGCGTACTCCCCCTCCATCTTGTTCGTTAATTTTCTCCCCTTTTATATGTACTTTCGATTTATCTCTCTCTTTTTTTTTTCCCTCCAGATCTGAAAATATAATTTCAAATTTGTACAGTAGCAGCAACATGACTATAGTCATATTCAAATATGACTATAGTCATATTTATGTATTTTTTTCGAATATGACTGTAGTCATTTTGAATACGACTATTGTTGAATATGATTGTAGTCATATTCGAATATGTTCTATCTTCTCGTTTCAAGTTGACTTGAAAAAACAAGATTCAAATTGTGATTCTTTTGCGATTTTTTGTGTGGATGTTGATTGTATTGTTTCCCTAAACAATAGGGAATCTTAGTTGTTTTATATAATTTGGTAAACATGACTGTACAACACTATATAATCGGATTTTTTAAAGCTAAAAATGTAAAAAAAGTGCAATATAAAGAAATAATACGACTACAATTGACATAGTCACATATAGTCATATTCAACTATAGTCATATTCGGCATTGTAAACTGTCCAAAAAAATTCAATTTTTTGTTTAAGAAAAATAAAAAAAAAATATTTTTATTAAAAAAATATTAAAAAAATAAAAATAAAAATAAAAAATGACTAAATAAAATCCGAAAATAATAAATAATAAAAAATAAAAAAAATAATTTTTTTAATTTGGTAGCAATTTTTAGGAATTTGGAAATATATTTTTAGGAATTAAATTATGATTATGGAAAGAGAGAAAAAAAGGAATAATTGGGTGAAATTATGCTAATTGATACAAGGGTAGAATTGGGAATACAATTTCTAGGGGTTTATCACAAAGAAAGATTTAAGGGGTGGACATATCACTATTTATTAACTATATGAGGGGTTTATTGCTAATGACCCCATATTTTATTTTGTAAATAAATTGGGAAGGGTTTACCAGATTATTACTGAATCTTAATCCACGCACCAGAACTCGGAATCCCAGAGTGCACCAAAAACAACAAATAGTACCCCGGCGGCGCAATCTCCGCCGTCGACGGCCCAAAAGCCGCAACCTCATAGACATCGCCGCCGATATACGCAGCCTCATCCCACCGGAGCACCACCATCCTCTGATTCATCGAAAATGAATGCGTATTAAACGGCGGCGCCACTATCCTAACCGAAACCTCGCTCATTCTCCTAAATTCCGGCACCCTAAACCTAACCAAAAACGGCGCCGTATAGCCGAGCGTCTCCTCAATTTCAACTATCCTCGGCCGCAATCGATCGTAATGCGGCGACAAATAAGGCGGCGAGAACGATTCCAGACTCAAATCAGTCGGAAAATCAACCCCGCTGAAGTTGTAATATATATGCGGATTGCCGCCTCCGACGAAAACTCTACCGTCGGGGATCAGGACGGCGGTGGAGTGGTACATCCGCGGCCGTCCTGAGGCGGCCATGACCGAGAACCGGTTTCCAGATCCGCCGTCGGGTCGGTAAATCACCGGCCTGGTGACCGGATTCCTCCCGGCCTCCCACCCCGCCGCGCCGGAGCCCGCCCCATTGATAATGATCACATCCCCATTGGGGAGGAGCACCATGTCTCCCATGACACGTGGCATAGGCATAGCTTCCATTTTCCAGGCCGGGTGTCGGTCGGAGATCCTCAGGCGGCCGCAGGTGGAGCTTGCTCGGAGAAACGTACCCTGGTCCGCCTGCTCGTACGCGTTGTTTTTCGCCCCACCACAAATTAAAACCTCGACTCTAACCGGAGTGACGTTTTCGTCAATTGGAAGCAGAACCGACGACCCCGAGCTCGGGTAGTTTCTAGAATCGCCTCCATGTATGGCCGGAAACTCCCTCACTACACGGTGCCGTTTATAATCTAAAACGATCGATCTCGTATTAGCGAACACAAACAAGTTCCCATCCGGTAATAAGTGAAGAAACGGATACAAATTGTTCTCCGATCCATCTCTAGCTTCTTTGAGAAACCGTAGCCTAATCGAGCCATCCCCATAATTTCTAGGGTAAAATTCGTAATTAAACTGTGCTCGACCACCAACTATTATGATCCGCCCGTCAGGTAGTATCTGATTCGTGGCGTACCACCTGCGCCGGGAAAGACTGTCTGGAAACTCGTTCCAGTCGCAGTTTTTCCGAGCGCAGGGCGCCAGAGTGCGTGTAACATGATCGCCGTCGTTGAATCCTCCAGTCTGGACGAGGGTCCCGTCTGGAAGGACCGTACCGGACGAGCACCAAGTGTCGGTTAGGATCGTTAAGGGTCGAAAAGAATTTGACCCGATATCGTACATAATGGAATGGGCGGTGCAGTCTCGTACGAGAACCTCATCGTTCGGGTCGGACCTGCACCGCCCGTCCGGTAGAGAGAGGTTCGACGGGCCGAAATCGGTTCGGTCGAAGATCACGAGTTTGTTGTTCTTGAGGAGTTGCATGTGCATGGCCGAAATGCCGATGCTTTCGTGTAATAGCCGCCATTCGCCTTGGAGGCTGCCTTGTGAAGCTAGGGCTAATTTGGATGTTGAAGGAGATAAATGGATGGTGAATAAGAGTGAGAGGAGAAAGGGTGTGACAACTTTAATAGTGTACATTTATTTAAATTTATGGGTAAGATTTAGGAGCAAAAAATTGCAGTTAGAGACAATATTTTGGTTTAGTACTTTGGTTTTGATTAGATTACAATTCACTCTATTTTTCTTTGAAAATGTTTTCACTTGATTATCGTCTATGATCATGTTTTCATATGTGTATGTATATCTTCATTTCACGGAATTAAAAAACATGCAAACTTTAGATGAAGTCAAGGAATTAAGCTTCGAACAAGGCATGCCTCCATTAATACATGGAAAATATAAAGAAGGTGACACTATGAATTCCCACAAGTATAAAGTTTCCGGTCAAGAAGCATGGATTAAATTAGTCCTTTTATATTGTTTCTTTAATTTCTATATATACATATATGGTTTCCGGTTTCCAATTGGATTTGACGAGTTCAAGCTCGAGCTCAGCCAATAAAAATAAATACAATAGCTCAGCTCATTTTTTCCTTTTTTTTTATAATATTAATATTGTATATTTTATCATTATAAATTATTTATATCACTTTTAAAATAATAAATAATAAAATTGATTTTTTAATGTATATTTATTTAATATTATTTTTATATTTGTTATTATTATTTATATAAAAAATATATATATAAAAGCTCGCGAGCTCATAAACAGCTAAAAGTGAGATCGAGGTTTTTTTTTTTTTTTTTTTTTTTTTCTAAAAGATTTTGCAAAGACTGCCTCCATATGCCAAATTCCTGAAAATAAGATCTACTTATATCACTCCAAAATAAATAAATAAACCTCTATATAATAGGCACATTTTTTTCTCTCCAAAGAAAATGTGTTCTTGTATGAAACTATAATTAAATATTTTAATTAATTATTTGAATTTTATATTTAATTACATAAATTGATATAGTTTTCTTATCAATTTAACTTAAATCCTAGCTTATGTTATCTCAGTTATTTATAATATTTCATCTTATTATGATGCATTATTTTATGTTATTCATCTATTTACAGCACACCTATAACCCATAATTTACGAGTCTGACCCTAAAATTCTATTTGGGATCCAATAGTGATGCTCTAATGCAGTTCAATACATCATAAATGGGAAGATTACAATTTTCATCCCTAAAGTTTGCACTTATTTTATATTTGGTCCCTCATGTTCATAGAAAATACATTTGATCCCTCATGTTCATAGAAAATACATTTGATCCCTCATGTTTCAATAATTTTACATATTTGGTCATTTTCGTCAATTTAACATTAGTTTGTTAGTTAATTCAGTCATTGAAACACGCTTGATTCCGTTAGTACTAACATAAAATTGACTGGAAGGACTAAAAATGTTGATTTTTTGAAACATGAGGGACCAAATGTGTTTTTTATAAATATGGAGGACCAAATATGAAATCGGTGCAAACTTGAGAGATGAAAGCTGTACTTTTTATTTTTATTTTACAAAAGCAACCCAATTTTACATGGGTAGACTCTGTTCTTGTGCAATAGCCCATAAACTACACGAGAGATATAAATTGCACTGGCCGCATGTTATGTGCGACGAGTTCGGTCCAGAATTTGCTGTCAAAATGTCACATAGATAATCTGAGTTTTACCAATTGTTACCAAGAACAGTAAAATTAGTTGCCACTTTAATTTACAAAAATGACACAGACATAATTAAACTTAAAAGTTTTACGGCTGTCGAACTTTTTTTTATGGAATCACTTTTTGAGTAACTTAAAGAAAGTAAATTTTAAGAACGGCGCGTGCATGTGAAGATGTTCTCTCTCTTAATTTGTACATGCTCTCTTCTCAAAAGAGATTTTCATCTTTAACAAAAAGCATATGCTTTGCTTGCTGCTTATACAACCTATTTTCTTACTATTTAATTTCATCAAAATCTAATCCTTTTTTGTTGGTAAAGTCAACAGATTCATTAGAAGCATTGGGTTCTGCACACTTTCTTTTTGGTACAAAGTTGACTTATATGTTCTTCCAGCCAATTTTAGAGTTAAAATAGTCAACATCGGTCAAACGGGTTAAACAATCGGTCAACCGGGTAAAATAGAGAGTCTTTTCGGTTATTTCTATGCTACACCCGGTGAAGGTTATATTGTGATTTTTTACCGTTGATCTACACACACCAATATGGGTGTGTGTGTGTGTGTGTTTGTGTGTATATTAATAGTACAGATTTACCCGGTGTATTTCATCCCGGTGTAGCATAGTATAAACCAGTCTTTTCACATATTTTTTTGGTAATGTCATCAATTTTCATCTTAAAATTCGACGATTGTGTAACGGTGTAACGAAACTATCTAGGTGCGTCGAGTTATTTTTTTTAATCGTAAAAAATCGAGGATAGCGTCCGGTAATTTTACTATCCAAGAAGGGGTCCACGTGAAATCAACCCTAATATTATTTTTTTTCTTTGCATATTTATTTTCCTCGTTTTAAATCCTTCATCCATTAATCGCAGACCCGAATACGCAGATGATAAGATTATTTTTTAATTAATAGTAATTGATGTTTTTAGCAATTCGATATAACACCCATATAACACAGTGGATGTTATGCGATTAACTCGAAACAAATAAGGCGCGATATGAGGAAAACAAATTAATTTTCATTTATTATGATGGTGCGCGCGAATACAATCAATTTAAATTTCGGTTTCGAACAAATGGTAATAATCGACTACGTACTTAATTAAAACGGCTCATTCAATATAACTAAAATACAATTCGGAGATTAAATATCAGGGGCACTATTCATTTCGCTGGCGTCGCTACTCGAAGAAACCTCACTGAACATACTGGAATCCGAATCCAACGAAGAAGACGAAGAACCACAAGAAGCAGAATCAGCATCACTCGTAATAAAATGATCATAATTCCTACGCCAACCAATACTATCACCGCCACTCTTTTTCTTGAAATGCACGTGGCACAAAACCCACGTTCCTATCTGAACCAAACAACCCTGCAAAAATAAAAAAAACATTAATCAGCTACTGCAATTCCAAGTAAAAAAGTGATATATTTTCCGGTTGCGGCATTTAGTCAAACAGTTGACGCGCATTCATTCGTTACCTGAGAATGCCTTTTCCGATGCTGTGTGTTAGAAACTGTGCTTCTCGAAAGGGCAATGCAGTATAAATCCATGAACCAATCTGTTCTTGCGGCGGAGGGATGCTTCCCCTCGTAGAAAACTAAGGTTTTTTTGACCCCAACAATCGGCATTATCCTTTTCGAGCAGCAACCTATTTGTTTGTCCGAACCGGCGACGATCTTCCAATAACCAGCACGAGTTGGTCTGCCGATTCTGTTAAAAATCAAACTCCGATGGTTGGTTTTCGTGTTGCTAAAGAAGTACCTTCCCTCTTCTGAATCACCTGTAATTAATATTACATATAATTTAATTAATTCCGATTGATGATGATTTCAAGAATTGGGGTTTTGTAAGAAAACAAACAAACCTGGTAGCTCCGATGGATGAGGGAAGGTGAAAACGTTGTCGATTTCAGGGATGACGTAAGCGGGAAGACGGCGGGAGAAAACCTTGCGGGCCAAGTATTGGAAGACGATCTCTTCGTCTGTTGGCTGGAATACGAAACCGGGAGGCAGTTTCTTGCTCTCGTTTTCTCCATTGTCTGATCTCATCATCTTCATCAGCTTCTCCATTTTTGGTTTCCTAGGAACTAACGGAAGAGAGAGAAAGTGTAGAGAGAGAGAGAGAGAGTCAGAGAGAGAGAGTTGCATGGAGGGGGCTTTTTGTAGAGACATTTGCTCAACTTTTTTTTTTCTTTTTCTTTTTTTTTTCTTATTCCCTTTTTTCTTTTTTTCTTTCTTTAAGTAATGTGCTTTTATTTTTTTTTTGAAATTATGGCAATCTCATGAGATAATGTCAGATTACGAAACAACTTTTTATGTTTGCGTAATTACAATCACCATCGACTATGAATCGTCTTGCTCGTCCACCCTTGCACGTCAAATTTAGTGGAATCTTCTAGATTATGTGGAATATTTTCCAGTTTGTATCCGTTTTATCCCATTCGAGCTCTACGTTTTGAAACAAGATGATTATAATATATATGTGTCTCTTGGCTTGTAAAAATAAGATTGTGGTGCATCTGAAACTGCATTTGTTGCATAAACGAGTACAAATTGGAGAACATTCTACGAAATCTAGAAGATTCATAGTTGAGGTGAGGTTGTAATTATCCTACGGAAGCTAGAAGATTCTAGATTCCGTGGAATGTTCTCTAGTTTGTACTCGTTTTGTGCAAAAATGTTGTTTCTGATGCAACACAATATGATATTTACAAGTAAAAAAACACATCTTATGATCATCTTGCTTCAAAATGTGGAGCTCGAGTTGGATAAAACAGGTACAAAATTGAGAATATTCCATATAATCTAGAAGATTCCATTAAATTTGACACCGCATGAGTGGACGTATAAGAAGATTTAAAAGTGAGGGATGAATATAATTACTCAAACATGAAGGGGTTTTTCGTAATTTCACCATACCTCAGGGTGATTGTAATTTACCCTACATACAAATAAAATTGGGTTAATGTCACTTATTTCCCTTGTACTAAATGATAGAAACCTTCACTTATCTCCCTTCTACATACTATAAAATTTTCCAACTGTCCCTCTAAATTATATGTTATACCAATTATATCCTTCTTCTTGGTTTTTTTTAGAAAAGTCTTCCTCTTTTCAATTTTATAAAAAAAAAATCTAGTAATTATAATTTATACTCATTTTGATTTCTATGGTTTAACTTTTGCTCGTCTTTTATGTTTTAATTTATACTAATTTTCGAAATTATGTAATTGGTAACCATTATATAATTGTGAAGGTAACTTAGGGGTAAGTTAGTCACTTTTGTCAAATTGTGGGGATTAAATGCATATCTTAAAAAACACAATGGAAAATGTCAATTTTACTATTTCTTGGTGATTAAGAATAGTGCTATATCTTTATATCTTTATGTTTTTCTTTATTTACATTTAATGCCTGGAAGTGTGACCATATTACAGATTGACCATGTGGGCTAGGCCTTAGTTTCCTTTTTCCTCTATTTCCTTTTCTTTTCAATTTATTAATTATTATCATAAAACATAAAGATATAAATTTTAATAAAATAACTAATTAGTCACATTATTTATTGCTATTTTTGTTTTTTTCTACTGCGGCTGAAAATATTGTTCTTCAAGTCCTAATTACTAAACAAACACATATTTCAGGATTAATCCCACCTTGCACCCTTGAAATGGAGCCTTTTGGCATTTTGTACTGTTAAAAGATAATAGTAGTTTTTGCACCCTCAAAACCAATGTTTTGAAAACCGGACCGGAGATTGAACCGGACAACCAACTGGGTCATGGTTGGACCGGTTCAACCGGGGTCCGACCGGGTTTTTCTATTTTTTAATTTTTAATTTTTATTCATTTATATATAATTTTTATATACACAAAACTACTTACTCATGACCCATTTAAAATATACCAAAAATAACGCACCAAACAACAAATTAATAATTATATCTCATTTACCATGTATACTTTTATATATAATAAATTTTGTATTAATAGAGGTCAATTAAATAAATTACTCAAGAAATTACAATAAAACTTTTATGTAAATTACTAGGTATACCCTCAAACCCTAATTGTGTTTTGTGATGACCACTACATGCCGTCTTATTATCTTCCGCCTCCCACATATTCTTCTTTCCACTTCTTCTTCAGTCGGTGTTATGTAAGTTTTTTCTATATTTTTTAATTTTTTTCTTCTTTTCTTTCTAATTTTCTCTTCTTTCATTCTCAATTCCTCCCCACTATATCCACATTACAGTGTATTAATCTTCTACGGAATCTCCATCCTTTTTTTTCCTTATACATTTTCGCTGCATCGAACTCGGTTTTCTGGGCGGTTTTTTGGGCCGATTTTCACCGGTTTTATCCGGTTCAACCGGGATTTCAACGGTTCAAAAGCGATTGACCGGTTTTTTAGCGTTTTTGGGTTTTGATCTTCGACCGGACCGAATCAGGCACCGGTTCGCGGTTGAACCGGTCGAACCGGCCGGTCCGGTCCAATTTTCAAAACATTGCTCAAAACACAATAAATCATTCACAATGCACATTGGATTGAATAATAAATGCAATCTCATATTTTTTTGGTGTTTTTTTTTTTGGGTGCAAAATAACAAATTAAATTGTTTCAACTTCCAACCTAATTTCGAGCGTACAAAGTGCTAAAAAATAAACATACACTGGATTATTGAAAAAACTATATATTTTCTTAAAAAAAAATTATTTTACTAAATTATTCGATTGGTGGATCTTTTATTGTAATTGGAGAAAATATTAGGTTTAAATATTTGGAACAAAATATGATTTTCAGACTACTTGGTAACAAAATAGTAAATGATTTTTTTCGTAATTTTTTTAATACTTTTTTTTTTTAAATATGTGAATGAGATGTATTTTTATTTTGCACTTTATAGTTTCAAAATGATTGATGATGAATAAAAAAAATTAGTTTTACATTTGGCATCCCAAAAAAATACAACTAAAAATATTAAATTATCTTAATTAGCATTAAAAATTCATTTAATGTACAGCGTGCATAATTTATTGTGTTTCGATGTGCGAAGTGTTATTAATTTATTTCGAAAGTGCAAAGTGCCAAATTGATTTATCTCAAGAGTGAAAAGTAGAATTAATCCCATATTTCAAGAAACAATAAGAATTTGTAAAAACAAAACAAAACATAGTGTTAATTAAAGACTGCTTTAATCACATTTTTATTTCCACTTTCTACAAATCAATATATGATAATTAGCATTCCAAGACTATCATTATGACATTTCTTAATAACTACTCAATATAATTAATTTAATTTAATCATCTTTATTAGCAGTCACTTTAAAATTATGTATGGATATCTGACATCTAAAGCTTACTGTTGCACCCCTTTAATTAGGGGCATATCTTCTTTTTTCTTGGCTTATTTTGAAAAACTTAGGGTTGAAATTGAAAAAGAATAGAAAAGTTTTGTACTTTTTGGAAAAAAGTAGAGGCCCCAAAAGATAAATAAAATTGGAAGAGGGGATTGACTTGAAATGGGATTGGATAGGTGCTTTCCTTCATCGAGAAGATGTTGCTTTTATTTGTTGTTTTATTATTTTTATTTAATTGTCATAAAAATAAAAAATATAAAAACATTAAAAAAATAAAAAATAAAAGTCATAAAGTCAGCTCACAAATAAAAAAGAAAAGCAAATCTATTACTATGTAATGAGTTTCAAATAGAGAGTTGCACATTTTGCCCAATGGATTTTACTTCTTTGTCCTGTTTTTTGTGTCTTCAAATTAAGATTTCAGCTCAAACCAAATTGCAAACACTAGATAATATAGAGGCATGGCTAAAACAAACACCGCATATTTTTCACTTTAATGCCATCAACAGAAAAAATAGAAAATAAATAGATAATGATGTTAATACCCTTAATAAAATTAATATCACACAAATTTTGTGTGGTATTGATTTTCATTAATGGCAATAATGTCATTACTTATTTATTATCTGTCGATTTTTTATTTTTTATGTTGGTGGTATTGAAGTGAGAAAAAAACGGTATTTCCGCTCCCATAATATAGAGATTGAATTTTTCCAATTTCGATCCATTAACATCATCGTTTCGATTTTATTCGTTTTGAAATATTGTTAGTTTCGTTGTTTGTCCGATATGAATATCTATTGGTGTTACGCTTACACTTTCATGTTTCGGGGTCATTTCTGTAATTTTTCAAAAGTTTCTGGTGCTTTTCTTAAACGAATTCCCATGCAAAATAATTCTAAAACCTATTTCGAATAAAAATACTCACAGCTACCCACGTGTACGTGACTTGAAGAACGAAGCAAGATCTTCTATGTCGCCAATAAAATAGATTTCAAGCCAACGCACTGAGAAGAAGCTCGAGCTCGACTCGTCAGAAAGCTCAAACTCAAAAAACTCGAGTTCAAGTTCGAGCCGCCTGATCGAACCGACTCTAAATATTAGTATTTGTACTTTTCTATGGCTTAGGTAAGAATAATAAGAAGAAACTATTCTTATTCAAGTACAATTTTATTTTTAATTATCATAATCTTGTATGTATTTATTAAGGAGTTAATTGCACATAAACCCATGTGTAATCTTGAATTGCTGAAAAACCTCTTTTGTAAAAAAAAATTAGCAAGACCTCCCCCAACTTATGTTATATTTTACAAAGCACACTGTTCCTTTTTTCGTTTTTTTCTGTTGACTTAGATGAAATGTCAAAATTACCCTGAATTCAAAATAAAACAAAACAGAAATATTCAGCCCAAAAAATAAAAAATTGAATCACTCAAAAAAAGAAAAAAATGAAAACAAAATTCGAAAAGAAAAAAAAAGAGACGATAATGTACATGTGCTTCATCTTCCCTGTCAAACCGACACACCACCCACTCCCTCCCCTCACCTCCACCCCAAACCCGAATCCAAAAACTTTCTATCAAATTTCTCAAATGGTGCATCCACCGCCGCACACGTCATAGAGCTACAGTCTACCAGCATTTTAAAAGGTTCGCGGCGGTGACAGTGGTGGATATGGACTGGGAGGTGGTTATGGGGGCGGACGTGGTGGCGGTGGGTACCATGGTGACCGTGGCTCTCTTCATGTGATGATTTCCAGTGAGGAAGACACCGGAGATGGTGTGAAGATGGTTGCCGGCTGGAGTGACGTTTGTGGTTTGATTTGTGAAGAAGATGGCTTTTTTGGGAAGGATTTGAATTACAAATTTGGAAATTTTCATTTTGGGGCATATAGAATTTTGGGGTGAATTTATAATTTTAAAAATCTATAATTTAAAGGGTATTTTCGTCTTTGGGGGTCAAAAATACACTCTCAGACGCCTAACCGCCGTGTGTGCAGCATACGATAAGCTGTTCGGGATCTTATTGCCTTTAATTAATTTTTATAGGGAGGTTCTTTCCAAAAGAAAATTAAATTTTCATAGGGAGGTTCTTTCCAAAAAAAAATTAACACGAGTGTTTTTTCAGCAATTCGAAATTACAGAGGTGGTTTTTGCAAAAAAAACCTACCCCATTTACTAAGTACCATTATTTTCAGTGGTAACCATTAACTACATCATCACATAACATGTCTAAAACTGAAATAAAATAAAAGGTCCTACCGGGAGTCGAACCCAGGTCGCTGGATTCAAAGTCCAGAGTGCTAACCACTACACCATAGAACCTTTGCAATGTTAAATTATTACTGATGTAATATAATCCAACAATAATTCCAAACTAAAAAGTAAAAAGATAAAAAAAGGTCCTACCGGGAGTCGAACCCAGGTCGCTGGATTCAAAGTCCAGAGTGCTAACCACTACACCATAGAACCTTTACAATGTTAAATTATTACTGATGTAATATAATCCAACAATAATTCCAAACTAAAAAGTAAAAAGATAAAAAAAGGTCCTACCGGGAGTCGAACCCAGGTCGCTGGATTCAAAGTCCAGAGTGCTAACCACTACACCATAGAACCCAACGGGGAATTGGCTTCAGTACGCTGTAAATCATTAATTTTAATTTCCCCCAAACATGGCTTCAAATCCCTAATCCTTCCTACTGATGTCAATTGAAAACACCCCCTATTAAGTCAGGGGCATCGTGGTAAATTTACATATTGAAAAAAGTATTCACTTGCTCAGCCAGAGGAGAAAATTGTACTTAATCACAATAATTTTCAAAACATTTATTCCACAATTCTGCATATTTTTATTCAATTGTGCATTACAAACTTAACATTAAAACTAACAGAAAGGATGCTGACAATATATGCTTATTGGTCACCAGAAACTAATTTTACGATCACGGTTCCTCATCGTTGGAGTGTGGACCCGCCGAATCCTCACCCGAGGCCAAATTAAACAGACGCCGGTTGGTTTAATTCCAGAAACGCCCTCCACTCTTCGAGATTACCGGCCTTTTCCGGATCCAATTTCGGAAGCTCACGCAGCTGAAGAATTTCAAGAATTTCTTCACTCTCCCCCGAAAAGAATAGCCACTCGACGGACGCTTCCCTCCCTTCCACTGACGGTACTTTCGTGACACTTTGAAGGTTATATAACACGCACTAAATTGGTGAGGCAAGCCGCCATTACGTCTACGATCATAATCGATAATCCCTCAAAGAGCTCCTCATTCGTCTGGCTATCATCGTCGTCGTCTTTGCGGGCTAGCAGGATATTATTAAGTTACCCGATACATGGATCGAGCGGCTATTAGTTTAACAGGCCAGCTGAGAGGGTTTCGCATTGTCAGATGATCTTTCGTTTCGGCTATAATCCACCTCCACTCCAGGTCTCAAGTCCGTTCCTCGTGTACCGCCATCTGATTTCGTGACGTGTTGTCCGGTGTATCGCTTGGCGGTTGGAATCGTCACAGCGGAGAAGCATAATATCAGAAGCATAAGAATCATGAAAATGGTAGCTTGCGATCTCAGCCGCCAGTATCTGGCGTGTACTTCGATATCGGTAGTTCGGTACTCATAAATTTACTGGTTCCCGCAATTCCCCTCCTGGTGTCTCGAACCCATGACCAGATAGTCGTGGGTGCAAAGTGGTTATTGACGGGTTAAGTTGTGTTGACGTATGACACTGACTGGTTACTAACTGCTGCATGACTGAGTTGACAAATCACATCTTGGGCCATTTATCTTCTATAAATTTTGGATAGTGGCTGAAGATGATGGTGACTCGTTCCTTTGAATTCTTCAACGGTTCATTATATCAAATTCCTGCAGTTTCAATGTTTATCAAAGCTTGCAAATAAAATAAGATATAAATTGGTGAATTAATTGTTCAATTGTAATGTTTTCTTGCATTTTCATGGGCTAAATTGCATAATGCGCGATATTTTTAGAAAAAAAAAATATGGAGATGAGTTTATTTACGAAACTGTTTTTGGTATGAACATATGTGCATTTAGATATTGCATTAGAGACAATCTGCTTTATCCATCCATATATATCAAACCATAGGAATATTATTAATTAGCTATTGCATTGATAACCCAGTTAACATACTCTGATGTGTTTGTGGACACGATTAATTCGTATTTAGTTGTAACTAATTATATATTTTGTATCGAAAACATTAAAAGGAGCTCATGGTTTTACTAATCACCTCTCGGTCGGTGAGAGCTTATCAAATACTAATCCACTCTTGCATCACCAACTTTGAACTGCCCGACCACCTTATCGATCACTTCCTGCATAATCTTGCAGCTCGGAAAATTGATCTTTAAACCAACGGACTTCTCGTACAATTCACGCGCGAAGTCAATATCACCATTGTCGCAAGCAAACGGAATAAGTGTCCTAAATGTGATAAAATCCGGACGACAATTACCGCTCTCTAGTATCTTCCCGTACCATTTCTTCACCTCCTCCATATCGCCTTTGTCCACAAACCCTTTCATCAAATAATTGTAAGTGTATATATTGGGCTTCAACCCCTTTTTCTCAAATCCCTCGAAAACTACCATGGCTTCCGAAAATCTATTTTCGTTCACCATGCCAAGCAATCTTGAATTATAACACCCCAAATCAGGAATTACTTTCTTCTCTTCCATTAAGTTCCATAAATTTTCCGCCTCCGAAAATCTACCGCTTCGATAAAACGCATTCAAGAGTATGTTAAATGTAACAGTATTCGGCTCCACATTGTTTTTATCCATCTCCTTCAACATTGAAATGGACGTATCGAGTGATCCCGTTTTGCAGGAAGCTGTGATAGCGGTGGTGTAGGAGATTAAGTTCGGCTTTATCGATAGTTTTGCGGGTAGTTCTTGGAAAAGCTCGACGGCTTTGTCGAAGCTTGCGGAAGTAAGGCAGGCTGACAAAAGGGCGTTAAAGGAAAGGACGGTGCGTGGACAATTTAATTGGGGCATTTCGTCGAACAGCTGAAGTGCATGGTCCAGCATTTTGGCTTCGCCGTAGAGATAGATGAGGCGGGCGGTAAAGGCTTCATTTTGCGCTTCTGGGTAGAGTTTGTTGTGATCGAGAACATCTCGAACGGAGGAGAAGTGGCCGGATTTCGCGAGGCGGAGGAAGGTGGTCTTATGTATAAAGAGTTGGCCACCGAAGCTGCTGGAATTTGATTTGTACTTTTTGACAAGTTTTTTGGTATTATTGTCTCCGGCGGGTGTTACGACGGCGGTGGCGGTGGCCGTGGGCGTGGATTTCTGCAGAAACAGATGGCGGAGGCGGCGGTAGACAGGAGAAGACGCTTTGCCCATAGCCAGAAACGGTGATACAATTAATACAATCCAAATTAATATAATTGAGATTTATAAAATATTGTATTATTATAGCAAAATATTAATTAATTAATTAGTTAATAATTAATGATTTATAAAACAACCAATCAAGAAATGTAAAATTTAATCACATAACAAAATTATCGGAATAGGATGAATGTTGAATATCTCTCGATCTATCTTGAAGAAATTATTGATTCTTCGACAATGTAGATTGACGAGCAGATAATTGAGAGCAACATGAAAACCGAGAGACAATGAAATTGAAGACGATAATTCAATCATTGTCTCGTTTTGAAAGAAACTCTTCAAACGAAGAAAATAATATTGAAAATTGCGAAACAAGTTCTAGATTTTTATATTGTCTCTCCAACACAACTTGAATAGCTGCAATTGGAGCTCGCATAAAAAGAGTATGATAAAAGTTTCACAAAATTTGTTGTATAATGATTTAATTTGAATCACACAAATTGCAAAACTTGAATTTTGTACGTCTATATAGAATGAACACAATCAGAGTTGAAAAATAAAAGTTGTGGTGAAAATACATAAACTCACGGTCCGACAATAGATTAAGATAGTAAGAAATCAAAATTAAAAATATGAAAATTGCAGAACTTGTCATCGTCTTTCTAATGCAACTTGAATCATTGTAATGGAGTTTGTATATGAAATTTATGACAAAAATAAAACAGATAGTAACAATGCACAATCTTAATGTTGGTTCAATCGCAAAATTAAGACAATATGATCCGATGCGATTTTTACCATGATCTAAGAATACAAAATTTAATGTTGATTATCGACTTTTCTTTTTATTTTTGTACTAAATTTCCTAGTAGATGACGTATATATTTGTACTAAAAGGGGAAATTCATTGCTTGAGGACCCCGATCCCCTGACCCGACGAGTTTGATGGAGAAGTACATGCATCATGTACAAATTGAAGTATACAATTGAAGTGGGATAACTATAATTTGGTATATTATGCCTCCTAGTCAACTTACATTAGTATTCTAGGCCTTTCTCCATAACGAGGGAAAATAAACAAAACAAATTCCCTCTTCTAGTTGATATTATTTGTACTTCATAATTGTAGCCACTTATTATTTTGAATCCATAATATCTTGATGAATGGCTATTGGCAGCACTCCATGGCTTTAATTATATATATATATATATATATATATATATATATATATATATATATATATAATTAAGAAATGGAATTGTGAAAGTAAATAGAACATAAGGAAATTTCACACATAAAATCGAATGAATAGAGAGATTAGGTGCGAATTTTCCGTAACAAGGTTATGTGTTGCGTACCGAGAAAACGATGGATATCGTATTAGTGGGTTGGGCGTGATGGCCGCTTAAGCTCAATATAATCATGGGGTGATTAAATGCCCAATTTTACCTAAACGTGAATAATTAGTGTCCCTTAATTCGTATACTTATCCCGAAAATGATATAAACTCATGGTTTATATTATGATATATAAAGGAAAGTTTATATATTCTTTTTATCGTTCTTCAGATACGGCGAACGCAACAGTCTAACGACTCAATAGATCGAATTTGTCGCACATAGCAATAGATTTACACATCTCCTATATATATATATATATATATATAAAGTGAATATAAAAAAATATATATATATAGAGAGAGATGTTGAGATGTTGTGATTTTGGGACACTCGTGAATGAAGTGTTTGACAAGAAACGGAAACTCAAAGAACATTATCACGACAAGTTCAAGTTGCCATATGTATTATTGATGCTGACTTGGCACAAGGTGATTGGTCCTTGTCTTTTTGAACTATAATTAGTTTCTGATGAATAAGAATATATGCCATGGAAGCATCAAAACAATACCAAAAACTCTTGGTCTCTAATTAAAGTGGTCTAATTGGTATTAAAACTAATTATTTCATTATCAATATTTTATAAATCGTGTTTGTCACACGTAATTAGTCGGGTGTAATTTATAAATATCGTGTTATTTAATAGCTATTTACACGGGAGAATAGTTTAACCAGTGCACTTCAAATGAATCGGCACGCAAAAAAAACAAAAATAACCATAAACTCTCATACTACGAGTTGTAATTAATTTGTAAACATTAAACACCTAATTGGAAATGGGTGGGTGACACATCAGAAATAATCCATGATGGGACCCACTGACATTTCGCTCCCCCTTCCAATACAAACTAAAATGAGCTAATGAAACAAATTAAAATAAATTAAAATAAATAAAATGCCATATTAGGGTTCAATGGGGCATTATTAGAGGTAGGGGTTAAATTGGAAAGGAATGTTTGAATTTGCCTGATTCTTCTGATCCAAATATTTTCGATTTTGGAACAATATTTTTCATTCCGATGAACTTCGATGTTTCTGGGTTTATTTAGATCAGAATTGGAATATATATTCCAAATTCCGATTCAATTTTAGTTTCTAGAAATTATAATTCAGAAACTCCATTTTGTTTTTAGAAAATGACACTTCTAATGTTAATAGTATTATGTATTTTATACTGTGTAGGTGAATAAATACGAAAAATTCGAAGTTGAAACATGTTTTTTTTTCATTCCGATTTTCAGTGTTTTTAAACATTCGTTTGAAAGTACTAATTTCGTTCGGGTTCGTGCTAATTTCCACCCCAATTAGGGTTAACAAAAAGCACTCGATATCTTGCGACGACAAAAAAAAATGAACACTACTCCTTTTAAAGTATTGAACAACTGTAAAGAATGAACCATCCATGAGGATTTCAACCTTCCCCACCACTCCATTTTAAATCTTTTCGAAATTAAATGACTTGAAACTTATTAGTGTTTCATTTCCCAATTTGTATTCATGAACTGAATTCAGACATAAAAGTATTATTACTATTATTGTTATTTTTTTATTTTTTATTTTTTATTTCTTAAATTAGCACGTAGAAATACGAATACTTCTACGTACAGATCGAGCTTCCCTATATAAAGGGACGGTGTGTGACCATTTTTACTCGTGCTTGAAAAAAGAGTAATTAAGAACTCATTAAGTTCATTCTTGTTCAATTCATTGCTCCTATAGTATAATTTACATAATTAATATTTAGTTATCTTAAAATTCAGAAATGACCAATTACTTGGATTTTGCCTTTGGCCTTCTAGGTATATATATAATTATAATTATAAAAAAAATATTCTATGCAAATTCCATATATATATATATATATATATATATATATATATATATATATATATATTCTTGATCAATATTTTATCATCATTCTTTACTATATATAACAAAGATAATTAAATGATTTGTGCAGGAAACATTGTCTCCTTCATGGTTTTCCTCGCACCACTGTAAGTCTCGTCGATTGATTTTTATTTTTACGTAGTAGAAATTAAATATTTGTTTGTGCAATTAAAATGAAGTTTTATATATATTACTGGGGTTCGAGCATGCAGGCCGACATTTCACCAAATCTACAAGAGAAAATCGAGCGAAGGGTTCCAATCGGTACCGTACGTGGTTGGTTTGTTCAGTGCTATGCTGTGGATATATTATGCTTTGCTCAAACCAGACACAACCCTTCTTATTACCATCAACTCAGTTGGCTGTTTCATTCAGACAACCTACATTTGTTTCTACCTCTTTTACGCGCCAAAATCTGCTAGGGTACGTACGGTATACTAATTAATATACGTACTAATTATTATATAATTTAATTTTTGTATATTTATATATTAAAATTTTGTTTACTAGCTAGTTCAAACTATTTATTTATTAATTAATTTATTTTTGCAGTTGCAAACTCTGGCTCTCGTTTTTCTACTAAATGTCGTTGGCATGGGCCTAATAGTTGTGCTTACTCAATTCGTTGCAAAAGGCTATAACCGAGCGGCTATTGTTGGATGGATTTGCCTCGTTTTCTCTTTGTGTGTATTTATTGCGCCTTTATGTGTCGTGGTGAGTTTCATAATTATGTATGTATAATATATATTGATTTTTACGGGTTTTTTTTTCGTTAGCTTTATTTTATATAATTTTTAATATACATAAATCATGAGATTAATTATTCTAATGAAATAAAAATTCAATGTTGAAATTCCTCAGAGACAAGTCGTACGAACAAAGAGCGTTGAATACATGCCGTTTCTTCTTTCTTTCTTCCTTACCCTAAGTGCGGTTATGTGGTTCTTCTATGGCTTAATTCGCAAAGACTATAACATTGCTGTAAGTACATACAATTTAAATGATTAATTATATATAAGTACACTTTTCGTACTTAATGAAAATTAACATATAACTTACGTTTAATTTTTTTTTTATTCTTAATAAATATATATATAGATTCCGAATGTTCTAGGTTTTATCTTTGGAGTGATCCAAATGATGCTATACGTAATGTACAAGAACACGAAAAAAGTGGTCGAAGAAAAGCTTCAAGAAATACAAATGGAAGATCACCACAAAATCCCCGAGCAGATTATTGATGTTGAGAAGCTAAGTGCCGTTGTTTGTTCGGAGATAATTAATAATCCTGTTTTCGTCCCTCGACTAAACGGTGCAGAGATGGCCAAGCCTGAAATTGAAACCCTCATAATTTCTAGCTACCTAGAAAAACATCCAAGAAATGGAAGTTGATCAAAGGTATCTTATTTAGCTTAATTAATTAATTTGCTAATAAAATTAATTATATTTATGTTGTCTTAAAGTATGTTATGTTTTCTCAGCTTAAGTTTGAAGTGTACTTGTTGTTGTATGAGTGTAATAATAATTGCAAGTGTAATTTATCGTTATTGTTTATATATTAAGCGTTATAAAAATAAAGTTTTCTCTCTATATATATGGTTGTTATTAATTGTGCATTTTATTTTTTCCTGAAATATATATATATATATATATATATATATATATATATATATATATATATATATATATATATATATATATAATTACTATGTAAGGTTTCTTAGAAAGGAAAACCATAAGAAGGTGTTGAAACATGAGAACCTTGGAGAACCAAAGATTGACCAAAAACATCATAATTTGTAATAAAAAAAAATAGATAGATGAAATAGAAATTAGGCTTGATATATATATTTAATGATTTTTTTTTAACTTTGAAACAGCATAAATATATATCTATATATATGGCTTTTGGCATAGTTTACTATCATATATAGTCTGAGTTGTGAAATTCAGGGAAATAAACTTTAGTTCTGATGTTTTATAGCAATCAATGTTTAATTACTTTAGATATTATAAATTATTGTATTATCATTCTGCCTAAAAAGAAAATCGATTCTTCGAGAGAAGGGTTTAAATGATCACGGGAGGAGGTCGTCGATCCACCGGCTGAAGGGATTCAGCGTTGAAGAAGGTTTAACCGTGCAAAGAAGGGGAGGTTGACATAATCGAAAGCAATCACTAGGTTAATTAAGTAGTGTACAAGAACAACGTATATATGAGTTTTTATATGGACAAATGATATAGTATTATACACCCGATGTATATATCACTCGATTGTATATATTGTATATATCACTCGATGTAACATCTAATAAATCTATAAAGCGCAGTTCTTTAAGTAACAAATGCAAATAACTAATCATATTCTAATTACATGATTAGTTTAATAGCAATTCAACAAGTTTTCACTTCCATTTGTATTATATGAATTTTAATATAGACTTTCTATATAAGTAACATAATATAATCATTAAAAGTGTTCAATCAATTATTTCTTTTTAAGTTTATCCACTTGTACAAACTCTTCTATCTTGAGTGAGTAATTCTGGCAGCTCCCAGTGACATTCAAGTGGTCTTATGCACTCCTTCATGCAAGTAATTAAAATAATATATCACGTCCGGTAACAAATGGTCTAGCAGTTGGAGAAATTGAAGGCCCATTTGGTTGTCAAAATAAGTCAATAATTAACTAAATGGTTGGACTTAATTTGATGTTTGGTATCCCCAATAAATTGTCGGGTCGACCCGCCAAAATTATATAATCATAGTTTATCTTGTCTTATCTTGGCTTCTAATGAGTTTTTTTTTGTTGGACGTTGCAAGCTCTAATAAAATATTTGGGTTTTATTAGATTATTTAATCTGATCTTGACTAATTTTATCTTGCCAACCAAACGGGGCCTGAGTCTGCTATGTCAATTGATTAATGTTCGAATTCCTTTGCTAACACGCTAAATAGTGTTTGTCACACATGATAAGCCTAGTATAATTTAAGTTTCTTGTATGATTGATAAACTGTTTGACGAGAATGTAGATTTATCAAATGCACTTATATGGGTTCTTCATTTAAAAAAAAGTAAAATAATAATAAATGAATAAAATAAAAATAAAAATTGAGAAGATTGAAGATTCTATTTAGTGTTGAATGACTAGAAAGTAGAAATAATTCAATTTGAATATGGCCCACGATATCACTAACATAAGTAGAGAATCACCTAGATAGATACTCCAGCTTAGATTCCAAGAAAAGAAAATTGCTAACCCTACACAATAATTTTTTTGTATGCAATATAATTACTGATAAATTACAACTACCTCCCTGAAGTATAGTCTATTCACGAAAACCCCTCTATTTTTTTAGAAATTACATCCAGCCCTGTGCAGTTTGTAAATTTCTTACATCCACCCCCTACAAAAAAGGGTGTTAATGTAAAAAATCTATAAATGATAGGGGTGGATGTAATTATGAAAAAATGAGGGGTTTTTTTGTAAATAGACTTTACTTCATGGGACGATTGTAATTATATATATATAATTATATTTTTGTGTGTATATATATATATATATATATATATATATATATATATATATATATATATATATATATATATATATATATATATATATATATATATATATATATATATATATATATATATATATATATATATATATATATATATATATATATATATATATATATATATATATATATATATATATATATATATATATACAAATACACACACATATAGAGATAGACATATAGACATCCATATATAGATAC